CCCCCCCCCGGTCACGAAGTGTCACAAATTCTTTACCCCCCCCCCCAGGGGTCACGTCACACCTTAAAAAATTCAAAACATACATAAAATGTTCGTAACTAAACTAAGATTTTATATTATTCTTTAAATTTTTTCCATAATGGACGTAATATTATTGAAAACTGAGTTTCATAGTAACTTTAATACCTGAGGCAATTTCGACCTCAAATTAATGTGTTTAAAATTATTTAAATAAAGATTTTTTTTTCCAAAATTAGAAAATTTTAGTTGTTTGTTTTTTTTGTTGTTTTTTTTTTTGTTGTTGTTTTTTTTTTTGTTAAAATGACGTCACAAATTTTTTTACACACCCGCCCCCTCTCCCATGTCACAAAGACCCCTAACAAAAGATTTTTTATTCCTTTTTACCCTCAATTTGGAAATATTAAGAAAAAGCCATTATTATACGTAATTTTTTTTTCGTTCTACAATAATTAATTGTTTATGATTTTTTTTTTTATTGATTTATTTATGAAGCAGTTTACCCAATAGATAGTTTGAATAAAAATTTTAAAAACCAGATTACTAAAGAGTAGCGAATGAAAAATATAAGTATTTTAATCACACAGCTAGGTCAAGCATATGATGATGATGATGTCTGAGTACTTTTATAGCGCTTGTGTCCATGCTATTTCAGCGTGCTCACAGCTCTTTAATGTCCTAAAATCTTTTTTTTTTATAGTCTTTAAATGGTTCTTAAATGACATTTTATCGTTTTCAATTTCTCTCAAAGATTGGGGCAAACTGTTCCACAATTTAGGCGCAACAGCTTCAAAAGAGCACACTCCGTATGATTTCTTTCTCTGTCCATCTACACTGGGAATTCTCAGTAAGGACTGTGCTGAAAGGGCGCAAGTTCTGTATAGATACATGTTTAGACATCAATTTTCGAAGATAATATACAGGTGCAGAGCATTCTATACAACCATATGCCAGGGACAGTTCTGTGTGGTCAATGTGCGCTCACGCACTCACAGGGCCGTCTGTCGCTTGACTTTTCGAGGACCTCCAGCCAATTTTCGATATATTTTTGGTAACCCCCCCCCCCCCCCCTCAAAGTTGATAACTAAAAAAGTGTGCACATCCCAACTTGAAGCATCTTGAAATATACAGGACCCCCTGCATCTGCAAGGCCTGCGAGCCCCACGTGATGGCCCTGGAGTCTACATTTTTAATTACATTTTTAAAGCATCTCCGCTTTCCAATTAAGTGTAAAATGATGCAAAACTAAATTTATATATCTGCTAAAATGTATTCATGCATTTTTTGATGTATCCAACATTTTCTCAGGAGGGGCTCATTGAGCCCCATCCCTAGACTCTGTCCCCGCTTTTACTCGGGTGTCTTAGACACGCTCAATTTATGCTTCCCCTTTCCTCACGTTGCTCGTTGGGAAAGTACTGGCAAAAGTTTGCATCGGGGCGTGCCATAACTGGGGTAAATTAAGTTTGTGTATGGCACTGGCACCATAGGGCCTATAGTTCATGCTAATAGTTGCCCTTTTCCCCACCCCTCCACCCCAGAAGCTTGGAAAATCCTTCCTCCCACTCAAAAAGTGTAATAGAAACGCTGAATCCGGGTATACGCTAAAATTCACCTCTTGGTTTTAAAAATAATGTAAACTGTTTCTATGGACAAGCTCCCCGAACCCCCCCCCCACACACACTCCCATTGGCGCCCTCAATTGCTGCCCCCACTTCCCGATAAAAATAACAGTTTAGTTTGCCCTGATCGCCAATATTCGCTCCGATAGAGACACTGCCTAGTGACGTGGCTAGTATTTTGCTGCCCTGGGCGGGCCAAGAGTTTTTTCCCATTACACAATCTAAAAGTGACACCTGCGCAGACAACCACCTATGCCCCTTTCCTACGCCGCTTGCACTGTCCACCCAAAGGAAATTCCCCCCCCCCCCCCCCNCCCCCCCCCCGAGAAAAGTCTCTTAAAGGAACACTGTTTGGGGGCGTCAAAGATTTGAGACAGATTGTGCTGGGGGGGGAGGGGGGAGGGGGGACAATTGACCCAAAAAATAGCGTTACGTACTTTATGGACGGCTCCCAAAATTCATTAAATTTCCGCTTAGAGACTATTAATAGTACGACAAAATCTTCCATTAATAAAAAGTGATGAATAAAAATTGTATATCTACAACTGTTGCTAAATAATTATATTACTTAAAAAGCTGAGTTATCGCTTGTTTAGGCAGCTTATTACTAAATAAATAAAATGAAAGTTTTTTATTGGTATTGAAATTAAACACTCTGCAATATGTTTTGACCTTTGACCTTTAATGGTATCATTATTTTCTAGTGAAGGCCTGCAAACTGTTATTCTTAATTTGTTTTATTATTATTATAGGGGTCGCTAAGGATGAGTGAATGTCACCAAAGGGGCGGTGGCCTGAAAAAAAAAAAGCCAGTAGAACTGCTTTAAACTGTAATTTTTTTTTATTTAAAAAGCTGGATAAATTATAAAGAGCTAAGCTATAAAAGGAAAACAATTCTGCGATTTGGACACTATTGTGATTTGGGCGCCCCGAGCCTGCGCCCCCTTCACCCCTCTATGCACGTCTTTTTATATCAGGGGTCTCAAAATTGCGGCCCGCGGGCCATTATCTGCCCGCATGACGATATTTTGTGGCCCGCTACATGACAGCAAAGTTTAGTATTAATGCGGCCCGCGAGTTTTCCCCACTCTCATATCTATAATGTGACTCTCCGCGACGGTTTCAGTCGAATCTCACCGACTCGTCAAATTCTGATTTTTATTAAGTCTGTATAGATCTATATTTGTATGTTGAATATAATGGTAAAAACCGTTTTAAAATCGGACTAAAAGTTGTTGTTTTTTTATTTTATAGCATTTTATGAGACAAACTGGCCAAAGTGCGGTTTTGAGAAAAGTTTTTAAAAGTCAGTTGGTGGGTAATGCACAACCATAATTGTGTGAATCGTAGCAATCGGATACGGTATCAAAGAATCCCTATTAAAATTGCCGCTAGTGTTTACGAGTGGGGGAAATTCCGAGCCTGTCAGCTTGGTCACTTTCAAAATAGGGTTAGTCAAAAAGGCCTTTCTACGATTAAAAAAAATCAAAATTCCTTCTCCCTACAAAAGCATCTTCCTTCACATCAATAATGTATCAATATTTTCTGCTCCTGCCTACTGTTTGAACACGTTTTAGCAATTAAAGCCTTCATGGAGAAGCTTGGGGTGGTTGTTCATGTACTAAGTGATCCCAGATGACTCATGGACTTGGCTTTTCTTGTTGTCATTACAGAGGAGCTGAATGTACAAGAAGTTACAAGACCAGGTGCAGCTTGTCACTGTCGCATATGACGATGTCAATGCATTCTGCACAAAACTTGTATTATGGTTCTTAGAGGAACATATGCCATTTCCCAACATGCAAAGTACTCATGGACTCGGACACATCATTCAGTAGTAAGTATACTGATGCCATTGCAAAGTCATAGGACGAAATTGATCCAATTTTTGCAGACTCAAAACACAGAGTCACTATTCAGCTTTTTGCTGACCCTTTCTCCTTTAATGTGGAAGATGCCCCACCACCCCTTTTTGCGCTTCAAATGAAGCTGATTGATCTTCAGTGCAATTCTAAGTTCAGGGAGGTGAATGAAAAAACAGACAAGCATGGACATTTTATGAGAGCATTGCCCTCCACCTTCACTATGAACTTTAACAAGTCAAAATTCAGGGCCAAACTTACTGAAGAGCATCTTCAAGCTATACTGAGGGTCTCATTTGCTTCCTCACACAACCTAAAGTTGCTCAGCTGTGTAAGAAGAAGCGCTGTCAGGTTCAGTTGTACTTAAATTAATTTGCAATCGCTTTTTTTTTTTTTTTTAGTGGATTACTTGATGCGGTCCAGTCTCAACCCCGGATTATTTGAGTTTGAGACCCTTTTTAACATTGAACCTAGGGAATTATTACTGAAGAGCATGATCAAGATATACTGAGGGTCTAATTTGCTTCTTCACACAACCTAAAGTTGCTCAGCTGTGTAAGAAGAAGCGCTGTCAGGTTCAGTTGTACTTAAATTAATTTGCAATCGCTTTTTTTTTTTTTTAGTGGATTACTTGATGCGGTCCAGTCTCAACCCCGGATGATTTGAGTTTGAGACCCTTTTTAACATTGAACCTAGGGAATTTTAACAAATATACGTCACAGGACCAGGGCTAAGCCACCTTGGGAAATTTCCCAATATCTTGGGAATTCAGAACTCTTAAACAAACCGAAAACAAACATGGCCGACACAGCAGCTCAACGCGAAGCAAGGCGACAAAAAATCCTTCGAAATCAAGAAGAGCGAATGAATAGATTACTGGGAAAATATGCAGAAGGTAGTTAAATGCGGTATACCTTTAAATGCATTGCAACTCTGGTATCCCCAACTCTATTTTAGCTTACTGTATTTTCTGACGTATAAGACGACCCCCTAATTTTCCAGGAAAAATATTGGTTTTGGGATATACTCGCCGTATAAGACTACCCCCGGCTTACCCCCTTCCGAGACAACACCATTTTTAAAAAAAAATCAGAAACAAAAAAACAACAACATCAGATTTGATTTAAACATGGTAATTTTAATGAAAACTGTTGACTTTCTGGTACTTAAAATCCTTCAAATTCAAAATCCGGGATTTGCCTCTATACCCGCTACCGACCACCCAGCAGGCCTGGCACCTATCTGGCTACCTCTTGTTCAAGGTATGGAGCACTCGGCGGGCATTAAAACTATAGTTCGGCCATTGCACCCGGCATATAAGACGACCCCCAAGTTTTGGCACTATTTGGGTCTAGGGTTTCAAAACATTTCCCACAATCCCTCCATCCCGGTATAAATCATAAGCTAATTCATCTTTTAAAAAGAAAATAATTGAAAAACTTTTTTATTGTAGCTTTATTTGTTTAACGCTTTTGCTGCGGCACAACGCACAGTGCGTTCATCGCCGTTATCAAAAGCACGGACCAACACGCTCTTGCGTTGTTTCAATATCATGTTTGTTTCTTTACTGTTTCTCGGTTAAACTTCTTAAGAGCTATTTTTAAATAAGAGTTTTACATAGAAGAGTGGTACTTCATTGTTTATAAGCAAAACCAATGTTTATTTGTTGTCATTTGAAGCATTATTTTAATGATTTTCTTCGCTATTTGTTTCTACTGTTGCTAAGGCTACTCTAGGCCAAGGTAGGTGATAAGTTTCCTGACGATTAACAGCTCAAAAAGCTTTGGAATTGTTTTATACTATTTCTTTTTATAGTGAAGATGATTTATATTTAGATCCATCGCATGAGTCTGATAGTAGAAGTTTCAGAGGACTTGAGTTATAGAAGTGTAGATGAGGTATGCGTGCATCATAGGGTTTGGGGAAACAATGGTTCAGCATATAATGTTTTCACATTTTATGGATCTTTTTTGCAACTAATTTTATTTAAACTGAATAAATAAGTGTACAAACATTTAGTCTTTTCAATTATCTTTCATTTAGGCATACAATGTACAATTTTGATATGTCTCTTATGATTGTACACCAAGACCTGTCAGAACTAAAATTTCAAGAGACTGAGTTGAAAATTGCGGTAGATTTTTTTCCAATATATAAAAAAAAAAATTAATGAAAAGGTGTAATTTTCAGTTGTTGGAAAATAGACGAGGAGATATGATTTTTCGTTGAATTTTGTAAGCCCATAATATAAACTATATATTTACTCCAAAAGCTTGTGACCCACTTTTCAAATTTCTGCTTTATTTTGCCCACAACATTTTCATTTTTAAAGATAATTGCACCGCATTTTTTAGGAGACATTCACAATCCAATATGTTGTTGGGTAAGAAGGGTAAGAAGGGGAGAGACTGCAATCAGGTTAGCACAATATAAAATAAGTAAAACAAAGGAGGTTTAAACCTGAAAAAAGGAACGCAACAAAACAATAAACGTGTCGGCAGGAAGCCTTCGTCAGCCAACAAAACAACAGAAAATACAGTATAAAAATAAAAAATAGCACTTAGCTTTGAGGTAGTATCCGTGTGCAGCAAATGAATTGTGACAGAAAGTAAGTGAGTGAGAGATTAAATAGGGAAGAGGGAAAGAAAAGAGGAGAAGTAAGTCCACTGCGATAGGTCGGGATGTGGAGAAACAACTAATATGTTGTTGTTGTTGTTCCTCCGTTGAGTCGACCATGACCACTATAATCATCAGATTTGTGCTAGTTCCACCTGTGGGTGCACAGATTGCTAATGAGGCCGATACCGGCACAAAATGTCTCTGCAGCCGCTGTTCTGCCAACTTCATGTTGCATGGAACTCCTGTGTAAAGTCGAACGCCATGATGTTTGATCCATTGTTTTTTCCTCCCACGTGTCTGGGTTTATTTCAAACACTTTCAGTGAGCCTTTTAGGTTGTCTTTAAAATGTTTCTTCTGCCCGCCAGCAGACCGCTTTCCTTGTTCGAGCTCTCCATAGAAAATTCTCTCACAGCATGTCCCGCAGGACTTCATTAAGATGATAAAGATGCTTGGAGACCTGCCTGCGTGAGCACCTCAGTGTCTGGGACCCTGTCCTGCCATTTAATGTTGAGGATTTTTCTGAGTCTTGTTGTATGAAAGTGGTTTAGCATTCTTGCATGGCGTTGGTATACCGTCTACGTTTCACAGGCATAGGAAAACAGCCACCTGATATACTTTCAGTTTAATTTTAGCGCTGATACCTCTCCTGGTCCATACGTTCTTAGTTAATTTTCCATAGGTTTCACTGACACTTGCAATACAGAGGTTAACCTCATCATCAATGGTTGTGCTTTAGGACAGTGTGCTGCTGAGATAAAAGCTATTCACCACCTTAAGTCTTTCGCCATATACAATCTAATATACAACACAAGCAACCACAAAACTTTTGCATTACATTAAGACTTTATTTTGGAAATTTTTATTTGAGGGTATGTTAAAAAAAAATCATGAACAGAATAATTTGAAAAATTATTATTTGTAAATGCATAATGGCGTGCAATTAAATTTAAAAAGGTAATGGGGAGGTTTTGTCGTCATTTTCTATGTAGACTGCTCTACAGACTTCTTGATCTCCTTGATAAATCTTACAATTTCCCTTTCAAGAACTTTATTTTTGCCATCTACGTCCAAACATGCCTCATTTTCGATGGAAGGAATTCCACTGAGCTTTCCCATAAAAAAATATTTCCTCTTTTAACTGTAAGAAGCCTAGAAATATAATCTAATCATAATCCTGAATCTACACAATTTCTAATTTCTTTTTAATATTATTCAATCTTTGTGTGTTTATTATTATTAAAACCTATTTCTTTTTTTCTTTCTTTTTTTTTTTTTTTGATATACCGGTACCAGTGTTAAATATTTTTACATTAATTGTAAATCTGTATCCTAATTTTAAAATTTTTATTTTTTTTTTTTTTTTTTTTTTTTTTTTTTTTTTTTTTTTTTTTTTTATTTTTTTTTTTTTTTTTTTTTTTTTTTTTTTTTTTTTGATATACCGGTACCAGTGTTAAATATCTCTACATTAACTGTCAATCTGTATCCTAATTTTAAACAAGACTGTTATGTCAGTAATTTTACAATTACTTTATATCCTTATATAATAGCATAGGGCCTTTATAAATGCACTTTGCTCTTAATTCTAAGACAGATAGTGAAGACTCACAGAAAGTAGGTAGTATTAAAATATTAGTTTAGCTTAGCATAACAATTAATTAAAATTGCATAATTACATACCTTATTAAATTTTAAAAAACTAAATTTAACTAGGCCTTTAAGTGTAAGGGAATTTGTAATAATTAGAATAATATTAGACTTAGGCCTATGAAGAATATTGAAGAATTATAATGACTTATATGTATGTCTGATTTAAGTAATATTCTCCGATACGAGTAGTCGTTAATAGCAGAATAACAATTATTATTATTCCTATTACTAAGATTTAATTGGTGATTTAATAATAAAGACCAGATAAAATTGATCAACAATAATGTTAATGTAATAAAACTAAAAGGTCAGTCTTAGTCCCCAACCAAAACTTTTCAAGTTTGGTTATAATCTTTTCTTAAATTTTTTTAAAATTAATTATTTTAAACTCCTTAGAATTAATCAGATGTTTAGGGATTCAATAATGAAGAATCACTTCATAATTAACAGTTATAAGAGCCATTTCACGCATCTCAATCATATAAAATGAACATAAATTTCTGGACACTTTTCACCCCCTATCCCCCACCACGCAAACACACACAAACACACACACGCGCACAAACAGGGTGCATATCTTTTCTTTCAATTGTTCATTTTTAATATCTTAAATATGTTCGAACTAGGAAATGGATGGAGTTACTCTAAAGCTGAACCCCATTTTTATAAATAACTAACAAAAAAGTATTTATGTGATCTATGTTTACCGAATCATTACGATAATCCCGCCTGTGATACACTCAAAAATTTGTAGCATAAATTTCATATAAAGTGGTGGTTCTCAAAGTGGCCCAAGCACGTGATTAAATGTTCCTTAGGTTTAGGGTGGCACTGGAACTACCTAAGGCTAAGGGGTCGGTGGTGAATTAAATAAAAAAAACGCTGTTTTGAAATAAATACCTAGAATTTTTTAAAAGACTATGAAATGATATAAGGCTGTCTGCATTGTAAAGGAGTCATGACAGACCTTTTTAGAGTTAATATAATTTTGTCTGACTCATTATGAAAAACCTTGGATCCTAAAAAACAGTACAAGCGGCCATTGTCAACACGATGTGTTTAGTTAACAATGTGAAATAAAAATACAACAGTAGAAAATACACTTAAAATAGTTTTGTACACATTCACTGGATGCAGATCGAAAAATCGTATGTGATATAACTACTCTGATAATATAAAAATCATTGTCTACTTTTCAAACAAGGACATTTTAATTTTTTGAAGGCGGTGGCTTGACAGAGATGGTCATCATCCTGCCAACAGCTTTAATTTAATGAGTTTTATTATTTTATTTCTTTGTCTTTATCCAAACTTATTGGTCTTCATTGAGAAGTCAAATAAATATCATTTCTATAAGGGATAAACATTGAGAGCACATGGTGAAATGGGGTATAAGTTTGAATTTTATTGACAACTGGATGAATTAACAAAAAGGTCACCATCAACAACTGGCTTGTACAGTGTTTTTCATTAACTTAAAAAGTACCTAATTTCTTTATTGTAAACATTTAGTGAATTAAAACGGAAAAGCTCTTTGGCTATTAAATGGCAAGTGTGTGATTCGCCTTTAGTGTCTATTAACATCATGGAATTTTTATAAGACAAAATTTTTATCTCGGAGCTGACCCCCATGACATCAGTCAGAACATTGAAAGTGTCAGGAATATTTGTTAATTGCATTGAAATGAATTTAGGGTTGCAGTAAAATGAGGTCAGTCTTATTAAAATTGAATAGCTTATCTCTACCTTTTGTGTTGAAAGTAATTAACTCTGCTTATACACAATATGGGTTAACACCCAAGCCCCGTCTCACCTAGAATTTTAGGGGGATGGAGTTGGTGTTTTTTTGTTTTTTTTATAAAATGACAATCTGCAGAACATCTTGTCGACATGTGAATATGGTACCAGTTTACATAAAAATTCTTACCATTTTTCGGATCTCTTTTTTTGAAATTGAAATGTAAGATTGTGTAATAAATCCATTTCCAGATATGGGTGCAGTTTAAAAATAAAAAAGGATGATTTGATCTGAAGCCAAAGTTGAAGAACTAGCACTAAGACTTTTCAGTACTCAAGGACATTCCATGTCACGATCTTGCATTTTGAAAAGTGGTTAAGAAGCTTATTGTTGTCTTTTGACTATCTTATTTTCTTGTTGTGATTTTAGTGTGGTTGTTCAACTCTACTCCAAGCACATGAATAGGCTCCATATTTCTGAGAGTTTTGATTTTTGGTTCTGGTAGGGTACGTTGCTGAATCCATGTATGGCATATGTGCAACAGTTGGGAATGCTGGTATTTTCACGGCCTCTAGCGGATGTTATGGCAGTTTTGAAGCTCTCTATTTGCGGTATTGTCCAGGTCATTCTAAGCGATGATTGTGCTTGGGAAGAATTATTGTTTATATTGGACTGTGTTACACCGAGGCACAGTGAAACATTTACTATTTTCCGGATGTAATTGCTTATGGGGTTGTTAGAGGTAAAGTCAGTGTTTAGTGAGCTTTTGGCTCTGATTAAGCGACCTGGTTTCTGTGGGGTGAGATACATGTTTGCTGGGATGGTCAGCACTAGCCCCATGACCACTTTATTATACTATTATAGGAATGTTAGGCGGAGCTTTTCTCGTCTGTCTTTGAGGGAGGGGATGTCAAATCTTTTTAAGAGGACAGTTATGATGTCAGGAGTGGTGGATTTGTGGTATTGTGCAATGAAGCGCACTGCGTTACATTAGATTTGCTCCATCTTGTCCACGTCTTGCTTTACTTATGGATCCCAGATGATCGCACCATATTCTAGTAGTGGGCGGACGAGTGCAAGATAGGCATTTCGTTTGCAGGATGTTGGGCAGTGGCACAGATTGCTTTGATTGAAACCCAGTGTGGAGTTGGCTTTTCTTTTTTCTTTTTTTTTATTTGGGGTGACCATTTTAAGCTATTCGAGAAGAGAAATCCAAGGTATGGATTATTTGATACTTGTTGGAGATTGTGTTGTTTAGGAAGTACAAATAGCTAGATGTTTTTTTTTCTTGAGATGCTCATTGTGTAGCATTTGGCTTTGTTAAATTTCATGCCCCATTTGTCCACCCAATTCATAAGGCACTTCAAATCTGCTCGGAGGTGTTTGTGGTCATCGTAGACTTTATCTCTCTGTAGGTAAGACATTCATCTTCAAATAGCCTCACTTGAGATTTTACAGTATCAGGGAGGTCGTTTATGTGACAGAGAAAGAGATGGGGGGCCAGCACTGTACCTTGAGGAACCCCTGAGCCTATGGTGGCTTTGCCTGATCGGACACCATCTATCACTACTTGAATGCTCCGTTGTGTTAGGAATGTTGAGAGCCAAGAATGAAGGTTGCCGGTAATGCCTTAGTGGTGTAACTTGTGTAGAAGAAGGCTGTATGGAACAGTGTCGATTTAACAGTCGTGTTATGTAACCAGGCAGTGAAAAAAAGGTATCACTTTATCAAGGGCACTCTAAGCATTAAGAATATTTTAGAAGTCTAGAAGTAAATTAAGTTACTATTGCAAAGTGTAATATATAAATGAGCTGTGATATTGTTTTCATGAAAGAACTGACGAATGTAATCAATCCAAGAAGACGTTAGGAGTTGACATGGGGGCTTCTCATCTGGGATTGGTGAACCTCGTTATTTTCATACTTGAGGTAAAGTACAAGAACATTCTCATTATTCAACTTTAGTGAAGTTACAACCATCGTCGCATGTTCCCGTATTTCAATGTCAGGGCCCCGCTGCCCGTTATCAATGCCGATGTCCCGAGACCCGTCCCGGTCACCCACACCTCAATGACTGTGTCCCAAGATCGCCATATAGGACAATGAAGTTTGTGAGAGAACTATTGACAGTAAAGAACCATTGACACTTAATTAAGCCCAGTGTGTGTTTTGAATAATATTTAAATTCTATAGGACTTTCCACGAACCAGGCAAGTTGGATTTTTATTGTTTAGAACATTGTTGGCATTAATTTTCTTATGACTTATGTATTAACATTTTTGTACCTGGGTAGAATTTAGATTTTTGCTAGAGTTGGTTTAAACAGACTGCGATTGATCCTTAAAACTTAATTATTGTTTACTGTATGATCACCCTTAATTTGTATTGAAATGGCTGGATATGTCAGTGGGAAATGGAGTTTAGAAGAAATTAGGCATGTGGGAGTGTTACTTCTTTATACGGGAGAGAACCTAGAGGAGTATATAAGAGTTAAGTTTGAAGAACAAGAACTTCGAGCTAGAGAGGAAGAACTTAGAGCTAGAGAAATAGAACGTATATATAGACAGAGAGAGGAAGAACTTAGAGCTAGAGAGGAAGAACGTATAAATAGACAGAGAGAGGAAGAACGTATAGATAGACAGAGAGAGAAAGAACGTATAGATAAACAGAGAGAGAAAGAACATATAGATAAACAGAGAGAGAAAGAACGTATAGATAAACAGAGAGAGAGACAATTTGAACTAGATAAACTAGATGAAAAAATTAGACTGGCGGAATTAGAGGCAGAACGACGGGAAATTATTTTAAAGAGACAGGCATATTATTATAGCGACAGTGACGATGACGAGAGTCAAGGGGAAGAAATATATTATGGCATTGCCAGCATTCACTGTGAGAATCCCTATAAAAATTTTAATAGAGTTTCTATTAATGTAAGTGAAAACAAATTTGTGGATAACGGTGGACATACTCATGATCCTGACCCCAGGCAAGAGCCGGCCTCGCAACCACGGTTCATGGCTAAAGATACTGAGGAACAAAATGATATTATTGCCTCTGCTGACGACTCAATTTTTTTAAATAGAAATGACAGTGATTTGTTAATTGATCCGTCGGCTAACGTTAAAAGGGACAACGTTGACCGTGCTGACATACCCCCAGTGGCAAAGGGTACAGATATAGCTTTAGATTCATGTCAAAACGAGGTTGAAGTAGTTGGTGTATCCCAGGAAGTCCAATGTAAAGAAGAAAGGGGACGACAATTTAATAAGGTAGAAGTCATTGGAAATGACCTTAGGTGGACGTATGTAGGGAATTGTCCCAGCGCCACAGCATGTAATGAATTGGTTGTTATGGAAACGGGCTGCCTTGAAAGCAAAGAGAACCCTGTTCTAATGTCTGAGGACATGATTTTTGTTGTATCTCACGGTGAGCCATCAGATAATGTAAGTCCTGAAGTTAAAGTGTCTGATTTTTTGTGTGAGGTTGATGAGGTGAGTGTAATCCCTGAGGTGGGGGAAGGAGGGAAAATTGTTGTTGATAATTATTGTGATGTAAATGGATCACTGTGTAATGTGAGCAAAGGTTGCTCAAATGATGATATTTTTTTTACAGAGATATGTACCGGTAATGAAAATGAATTAGTTGATAATGTGAGCCAGGTGTGCTCAGGTTTTGATGTTACTGCAGAGATCTGCAATGAAAATGTATCACAAGTTGTTATGAGCAAGGGTTGCTCAGAATTTTATAGTATTACAGTGAGCTGTATTGATGATGAATCAATAGGTAGTGTGAGCCAGGGCTGCTCAGATTTTCATATTGTTGCGGATAGTTGTAATGATAATGAATCACCTGTAAATGTGAGCCAGGGCTGCTCAAATGTACATATTGTTACAGATAGTTTTAATGAAAATAAATTCCCAAGTAATGAGAGTGAAGGTTGTCCAGATTTTGAGAGCCAGGAGTGCTCTAACATTAAGTTGAAAACCAATGTTGAAAGTGTTAAAGAGAGCGCTGCCAGCTCTAAAGGTGCACTTGTTTATGATTTTCAAGAGGAGGTGAGATGTCAGGTCCATGAGTTGGGAGGTGAGGCTTTTGTTTGTATTGTTAAAAAAAATGAATCTGTTAAAATGAACTATTACCATGATTGCTTTGAAGTTCCTGATTTGTTTGAATTTCTTTTTTATGAGACTCGTTTTTCATTTTGTAACAATTTAAAAATATGTATTGTAAAACTGAGGTTTCACATGAGTTATGACCACGGGTCAAAAGAACAGGGAGAGATAATTTTAATTATAATAAACATGTTGAAGCATAAAGTTGTGAAATCCACGGACAAAAGATATGTCCCGCCATCTGTAGCTGTGTTATTTAAGAGCAAATAAAGGCTGCTCAAATTGTGGTGAGGCATCTCTCACCTGTAATAATGTTAGATGGTTTTGTGTTTTTATAGTGATGACCATTGGTTTTGTTTAAAAATACACCTTCTTGATGATATGATTTGGATTAACTTAGTTATAGTTTCAACTTCAGTAAGGATGTTGATGTGTTTGCCCTGATTTTTGAGATAGAAATATAATTTTTTTTATTGGTATGAAAAATGAAAATTAATGTTGACATTCAATTTTAATGGTCTGATTTTTATTGGCGTACATGCATTTTTAACTCTTGAATTGCATTTAAAATTATGTACGAAGGATTGTTTATTTTATTGCAGTATATCATAAATCTATTTGATTTTCAGTGATACCTAAATAATGTTTTTTTGATAAGGACCATTCATATGGCTTAAGGTCTCTTCTTGATGTAATTCATGTAAATTTTGTGTGTCTGGTGACGATTTAACTCCCTTAGTTAAATCTGAAATGAAAGAGGGGGGATATGTCGAGTATGAGCGTTCATTAGTAATTGTTGCGACTCAATATTATGTTCATTAGTTGTTGAACGCTTTTCCCGCGCTTGACTATTATAGTTAGTGAACGCTCTTCCCGCCATTGTCTCTATGACGTATTGTCTATGCAGTATTGTGACATATGTTTTAGTCGTGCGGCAGTCTTGAGTGGAACCTTGGAGTGATAGGATGTTTATTATATTTACTTAAATATTAAAGTTATAGTTATTATGAAAAGGAGTTGAGTTTGTTAATTGATAGTGAGAATAGTACGACGCTTCAACATATGAAAGAACTGACGAATGTAATCAATCCAAGAAGACGTTAGGAGTTGACATGGGTCGATTGTCCTGCCACTCCTAAAGAAACCCTCACTTGATCCAAACACACTCAAGAATTACCGCCGCCCCATCAGCAACCTCTCCTTTCTCTCAAAAATCATAGAAAAACTCATACTCTCTCAGCTCTCTGGCTATCTTCATTCTCGCAATCTCTATCCTTCCTCTCAGTCCGCCTACCGACTTGGTCATAGCACAGAAACAGCACTGGTCCGAGTCATGAGTGACCTCCTGCGCACGATGGACGATGGCAAACTCTCTATTCTCATTCTGTTAGATCTCTCTGCTGCATTTGATACCATTGACCACCAGATTCTTCTTGACCGCCTTCATCTTTCTTTCGGACTTACTGGCTCAGCTTTAAACTGGTTTCAATCATATCTTTCTGACAGAACTCAAAAAGTCTCTATTTCCAACCGCTCTTCCAAACCTTCAGCCCTGTCTATTGGAGTTCCTCAAGGATCGGTCCTTGGGCCGGTCCTTTTCATCCTCTACACTAAACCTCTATCATCTCTCATTAGCCACCACTCAGTTTCCAGTCAATCCTTTGCTGATGACACTCAAATCAGTGACTCTTGCTTTCCTGATCAACTTGATGCCACAATCCTTCGCATACAGGAGTGCGTGGACGATGTAAAGCGTTGGATGACTTGCAACAAACTGAAGCTAAATGATGATAAAACGGAAATCCTTCTCATCCACTCTCAAAACAAACCTCTCCCTCCATTCGCTCCTTCTTCTATATCTATTGGCAACTCTGACATCACACTCTCTCCCTCTGCCAGAAACCTTGGAGTCACTCTTACGGACACCCTCTCCATGGACAAACATGTCACGAATATATGCAGATCAGCATATAACGAAATTAGAAAAATCAGCACCATTAGACACCTCCTCTCCTTTGATGCCACAAAAACTCTCGTCTCTTCACTCATTCTTTCAAAATTTGACTACTGTAACATTCTTCTCTCAGGCATTCCTCAACACCACATAGAAAAACTTCAGAAGGCACAGAACTCAGCATGCAGACTCATTTTTAAATTAAAGAAACATGACCACATTCAACCACACATGCGGCAACTCCACTGGCTTCCAATATCCTCTCGCATCAAATACAAGTCTGCCAATCTTTGCTTCAACTCGTTCACTGACCCTCACTTTCCTGTCTATCTCTCTGAACTGTTGCTTCCTTACATCCCCACAAGACAACTACGTTCTTCCATTGACAGTAGAACCCTCTCAATCCCAAGAACTAAAACTAAGACCATCGGTGAACGCTCCTTCTGCTTCCATGGGCCCACGTTCTGGAACCAGCTCCCCTTCCATATACGTCATAGTGAAACCTCGTCCATTTTCAAAAAGTCCCTTAAAACTCATCTGTTTAGGTCCGCCTATGACCTGTGATGCACCCTCCTTGCCCTACCTCATTTTCTGTTTCGGGTTGATCCTGAAGTGTCAAAGTGTCCTCGTTTTATAGCCATTTTCATAGTTTCTATAGAATAGTAGTTACTATCCGAGTGTCTCATTTGTATTTACTTAGTTTACATGTTTTAATAATTGTAAAGCGCTTAGAGCTTTATGATAAGCGCTATATAAAAATGCCTAAATAAATAAATAAATAAATATTGATGGATCAAGTTAATCAGTTTATTAGTGAACTGATTTAAAGGGCCTAGTCTCTCATTACTATTTTATCGTCTTGATATCTTCTTTTATAGTCTTGCATAATTATATTCTGAATAATTATATTTTTTGGGTAACGCTGGTGTTTCGAGATGGGTTTATAGCGCAAAGGGGGGCAGCATCCGAAAAAAGTTTGAGAACCCTTGCTATGAGTATAAATGTATACTTATTAATAAAAAATGTTTAAGTGAATAACTGAGTATCATCCTGAGTATGACTAGTAATATGACTAAGGTTACTAAAGACTAAGACGTCTAAGGCCAATCAATATGTTACCATTAGGCCTAATAATGTGTCATATATTGTTCTTTAAATTAATTTAACACAAAACTAATTTAATGCAATCCTCATCTGGGATCTAAAACTAAAAAAAAGTCCCCTTCCAAAAGTAATGTGGATAAAGTAAGTAGATCTATATCCGATTTGTAGGATATAGAATTCTTCAAAATGAAAAAGCCCGCAATAAAGTCTCATAACCAGATTTATAAATGATTGTTTCCTAACTATTATAATTTTTAAAAACTTAATATACTGGTATCTTAAAGCTCTTTATGTACAAAGGACCACACCACTGCTTTTTATATAATAATATTTAATTTTGTTGCATGATTTGAGTGGGGGGGGGCAGCGCTACGCATTTACTTATAACTGAAAAGTTAGTTTGCCCTAAATCTGAGCAGTAAATGCACATATGTAAAGAGTATTTGTTTGTTTGCAGCAGAGACAAACGTGAAACAGTCAACCCCTGAGAAAATCCAACAGAAGGATGAGCATGAATCTTTGAGTCCTCACCAGTCTCCTTACAATTTACGACAGAGATCTCAGAAGAATTCTACAGTACCACCAAAGTCTTCTAATAGTCAGAATGAACTCTCAGCCCAACATGGTGCAGTACCAAGTAGCAGTGCAACTATTTCCCAAGAAACAAGTATTCCAAGTAACGGAAATGAAACTGACGAAATCAGCCGTAAAGAAAATAAAAGTGAGCCAACCATTGGTCGCATTGGAGACTCTGTGCCTTTTGGACATTCACAAAAGCCTGTGGAATCAGATCAAACTAGTAATGGTTTACCTTTTGACCTACAAAGACTGGATCCTCAGACTTTAGAAGTCCTGAAGATTGTTATGTTTGTCTTGACTGCATTATTCCAGCGTTATCTTCTGAAATTTGGTTTTGGAATTTTTATATTTCCGGTAAATATTTAATGTACATAAAACTAGTTAATTTACATAAGTTATTTGTTGTTTTTTTATGCTCTTAAAGAAATGTATGTATTACTAGATATCTTTCAATTATAAATTTAAAATCTTGATTTATAACACTATAATTTTGAGTTTAAAGATAATATTATAACTTTGCATACATAATTTGTGTTACCCTTTGGGGGGGATGGGGGGGGGGGGGGGGGGGGGGGGGGTCTGCACCATTATAAAACAGTCTAATTCATATCCCTATGTATTCAATTAAAAATTTGTAAAAATCTTTTGCAGAGCATATTTCTTCCCTTCATTGTCTTGGAGTTGGCTATCAAATATTCAGTTCATACTTATTTGAAGGTAAGGATTAACTTAATTTCTTTTATGAACACCACTTTATTTTTATTTATTGCCTTATTTTTTTCATATAGTAAATGAAGTGAACAAAAAAATTAGTATCTATGAATCCAAAATATTGTCCTAAATGTTTTTTTTTGAATAAATTGTTGACTCAAATTATTATTTATTTTCTTTCAGCACATACCACTTTCCCATGGAAAAGGAAATCTCTTGTCTGCTGCTCTCATGCTGTGTGGGATCAGACAAGATATAATGGACTCGTATCATTTAATTATGGCACACATAGCTTCTGCTGCTAGTGATTTTTGTGTTTATTTTTTTGCATTTATTATTGGACATGCATGGATGACTTAGTGACTGTTAAATAAATTTTACATAATTCAAATGTACCATATGCAATGTAAATAAACACAAAAGCATAGCGCTTGTTTATTGATCAGTCATAACAGTCTATAAGGGAAAGGCATGAGAATAAATAGGAATAATTTAACTGTTTGTGTCATATTAATCTAGGAATAATTTGATATGATGTGTGGGTTTCAACCCTGGTACAACTTACATAAAGGTGTCATTTGTTTAGGTACGGTATTTTTAAAATCTTAAGTTGATTTTATTCTATGAATTTGATCATTCAAACTGTGTAAGATGATTAACAATTTAACATCTTTCCCTACTTCAGAAAATATTCTAATAAAGTTTCCATTATTATGAAATTTCATTGAATGATGATGTATTCAAATTACTTTCAATTTTTCACTACTTATGTTACAGTACCTGGCACTGTAAAGTTTCTAATGTGTGAATATTTTTTTTTTTAATCTCTTCATTATAGTGGTACAGAAATTAATTCAACCGCATCTGATTTATTGTGGCTAAAAATTGTTCTGTAGATTCAATTGAACATGTTAAGGACTTTCAAACCAGGGTTTTTTGCAAAGTTCAACCAAAATTGTAATTTCAAATAAAAAAGAAAAGTCTTACATTGTTGACTTTATTTGTAGGTATTTGTAACTACAAGGTTTGTAATTGAGTCTATAAGTGGCACATTTGTTATCCAACCCCACTGCTCTGCTACACTTACTCTACTCAATGTTTCAAAATTCATCTTTATCTAAACCATGATAAACACTTTCTTATAATATTAAAACAAAGAAATGAATATTATATAATGATATGTGCATCACTATATGACTTGTAATAACCATTCATCTAAGTATATTTTAAACTTATTAACTATCTATATGATAGATTAAATTAAACAAATGTGTGAATTTTTAAGTTTACATTCTTCTACCACAAATATTGTATAAATGGTTATAAAGGGGACATTCCTTTCTGTTCATTCATTTCCTCTTATTTTTCTGCAGGTTATCAATTGCAATTTTATAATAATGTTGGCACAGTATTAATTGCCATTTTACAATACATGAGGCCATTGAACCTAAAAGTCAAGCTTTAAAAAACAACTTTACTTTTAAAATACTCAATAAAGATAAACTGGGGCTGAAAGTGTACCCTGTTCAATGAATGTAAAAGAAAAGGTGCTGAGAATCTTAGGGGGCATCCATTAATTATGCCAACAACAACAACAAAATAAGGGGGGGTGTTGGAAATGTTTGACAGTTGTTGTTGGGGGGGGGGGGAGATTAGTTGACATCAACTATCATGTTTTCTCTAATAAAATTTTAATCTTAAAAATTGACTGGTTATTATATTATTTAAAAAACTTATACATATAAATGAGTGTAAATAGTCATATCATTTTTAGACTTTTAACAATATAAGATTTATTTAATGTGTGTCGGTGCACTGCTGATGGCTGGTCAGAAAGTTATCACACTTTGTTAGTGCAAGAGAAGTCAAAAGTTGGCCTCTCTTCATCTGTAGACTCTGTGTTGCATTTGACTAGAGTGGTATGTTTGCGATCATGTTGCAGGTATGGAACAAGGTTCAAGTGTCATGTGCAGTCAAGATAAATGATCTTGAGAGAGTAGGAATATGATATTTTGAGAATTAGGGAAAGTAACGTGAGTGACAATAACAACTGCTTGAACATCGCTGCTTGAACAGATTTTCAAAATCTGTAACATCTATTTTGCATCACAAGTCATGTTGAAAAAGCATGTTTAATAGCACCGACAATGCCCTGTTAAGCATAAGAAATAAGCACCTGCTGCTCAACAAAAAGGGATTCGACCAATGCGAGTAGTAGCAAGGAGATGAGAGAGCTTATGGCAAAAATTATTGCTCACATCGGCAATGCTTTTTTACGTGCTGATGGTTAGATGAGGATAATGTTGACTTCTCTGGTATATCAGTTCCTCAAGATGAAAATGATAAATCGACTATGCCCACCAGGGGCGTCATTTCAGGGAGGAGGGGGGGACCAAAACTTGGTCAGCTTGTTAAGTTGTTTATAACTGGAGGCGCCACATTACAGAGCCCCCCTTCCCTACCAAAATGATGTCCCTGATGCCCATTGTTACGTTAGAGCAACACCTGGCTACTCCATTGGAAGATGATGGCAGCTAGAAACTATACTATAATTGTCAGCTTTACAGACAATAATCATATTTATACCACAAACGATGATATTTTGTCTATAACAACCTTTAATCGATTCTGCATTATAAAATTTAAGTGTAAAAACTTTTTCTTCTTCTTCTATATATTAAGGGCCCACGATCATTTTGGCTCCTATGCACCTAGAGGGGATTAGCAATGTTTCTGTGCCTGGTGTTGATGAGGATATTTCACTGATTGCAAGTGCCACTTTGTGAGGGAATCATGCAATGGGGGTTTGAAGGCTTGAGGCAATAGACCCTAAGATGTAATAAAATGTTTTCCTACAATTTTGTGTCATTTAAATATATTAGCACCAAGTAAAATGTATTTATATGTATTATAATTCAAATTTTTTTTGGGGCATGTGGGGTAGAAAATGTTGACATAATTACTTAGGGGGGGGGCTTTGAAGTTAGACAGTTGTTGACAAGGGGGGGAGGGGGTCAAAATTTGCATAAAAATTGTTGACGTAATTAATGGACGACCCCTTAACAGTTTGCTTTTTCATTAAATTCAACAATACGCCATCTCTTACAAATAATTTGTGAGGATCCACTCCATTATGTCCATATTATTGGGGCATAGCAAAATTAGAGGTTCATCAGATGTCACTAGTGGAAAAAAATTGTGAGTGACTGTTGAATGTTTGGTCAGTATGGTTTCGAATCAGTTATTGAATCTGATGGTTATAATTTTTTTTTATAAGAATACAACTTAAAGCTGGATTTACATTTGTTACATTTATTTAAATGGGGAAGCCTAATTCTTCATAGCTATAATTAAAGACCATGATCTTTTTATACATTATTTTTACTTTACAACTCTTTTTGTTCTTTACATCAAATATGTTTTTGTCAAAGGCTTACAAAAACAGAACACTTATACTTATACAAAAAGACATCAATTGTTTTTAACTACATTTTATTCAATTAATGTTGACCGATACAAGACCAATGTCACAAGGTTCACAACATCATATAATTTTAGTACTAATTGCATCATTTAAAATTGATTTTAATCTTATCTGCCACTGCTTAGAGATTCTTGAAATAAAGCAAAGTTAAGATTTTATAGAAAATGCCAAAGTAAACAGCCATGTGCAAGAACCTTAACATTTAATTTTTTTAAAGAGTGGTTATTGATGCAGGCTAATATGATCCGCTGATAACTTATCCTAACACTTATTTAGATCACTTTCTTATGATAAACTTAGTAAATTCAGAATTAATTATAAGTTTTAAATGGAATATATTTTGTATAACATAATAAAATTTTTAAAACATGTGGAAATGTTATTTTTTAATGGTATAGTATAAAATCACAAGGAAATCATAAATCTTTGCCTTCCTGTAAAATAAGGAATGTGAACAACAACAAAAAAAATCATTAAATAAATACATTTTCTATACGGTAAAAAACATTTTGAGGTACCTCGTCACAGAAATATTTTAAAATATTGCACATAAAATTGATCACATCTGGAGAAGGAAAGAAAATAGTTTTGATTATAGAAAATATGTTAAATGCGCTTTGTACTAATGGCTAAGTCTTAAAACATGCTTTAGTTATATATCTTATAGTACCCAAAAGGATGACATGGATGTGTGTACATGTACAAACCCATTTGTTATATATAAGGTATACAGAAAACTTCATTTCAGCTTTAAGTAACATTGAGATCATTAAATTTATTGCTCCATCCCATCATTTTAAAGCCTGTAAAACAATTTTTTAACAATATATTTTTCTCAACAATGGAATTTGAAATACTGTATTTAGTTGCCTAAAGAGATTAAATGAACACACACAAAAATGGTTTTATTTTTACCTTTGATTTTTTTTTTTAAACAAATAGAAGAATAAAATACACTTGTTCAACTTTATATATTTTTAACATTTAGCACAATTAACATCACAATGGCCAGACGAGACAACGTCAAGCATAAAGGGTACTCGTATGGTGATAAAAATGCTATCTTAGGAGTAAAGGGGGAAAAAAATCTGATCTATAGTGTTACAATTTCATGCTTTGATATAATTTATTTTGGCACCAACTAGCAGAATTTGTTATAAATATTTGCTCACCTTCATCATAAATATTTTCGCTAAAGAGTGTATAACTTTTAAAATCTGCATTCTGGAACTAACATTTGCCGGCCTGGGTGCAGTATGAAGTGTTGTTTATACAGAATAAATGTGATTTCTTGCTAAAATGCTTATATTTCCTTATTTAAGTTTACTCAAATGTGTTACATAAAATGATCACAGTGCAGAGTGCAATAAAGAAAAAAATATCAGGAACAATCTATTTTAACACTTATAACAACAAGTTAATGACCTCTCTTTAGCATGCTGCTCTTCCCTCAAATAGAATTTCCTAAAAGTCTCACCAAATGATTTATTTCTATGATATATTTTATAATAAATATTTGGCCCCCAAATTGTATGCTGCCATTAAATTTGAAAGTCATTTTGACCAGGAAGTTAGTGGTATTCTGTTTTGCAAAAATTATTTAATAGTTCTTACTTAACCCATAGTGGTCATAAACTCTCAATGAACTGATTCAAAAATAATATACAGAATGTCAAGAAGAGGAACATTGCACAAACTTAATTGAAATTGAAGGTGAAAATCCAACTTAGTCAATTGTAAATAAATTCCCCATTGGTTTATATTTCATGGGAATGCATACAGCCGCATTTTCTTAACTTGCATATTCCTTCCCCCCCCCCCCCTATATTTTTTAAAGTAATTTTTGTCCACTAACAAATACTCCATGCTATTTTATTCATTGTGCAACACTCTATGGTCCGCAACAAACAGTAATTAACTCATTTAAAGTATATCTTTTATTGTAACCTAAAAATTTAGAGAAAACATTTCACCCAAAAAGTTATGAAAAATACTTGAAACTAATATTTGATTATAACAAGAAACATACAAAACTCTCATTAGTATGGTTTGATTACTGATTAAGTTATTCTTGACATCTTTTTTAAAAGACCTCGGTACGGTACGTGTACGTATGATCAATAATTATCTAATTTCATAGCCCTGTGCTTGCAGCATTGATTTATTTCTTTTGTAGTGAGGCTGAAATGACCATATCAAGTTGCTCTTGCAAAGCCCGTGGCATGAGATGTAAAACTTCTTTCATCTGGTCTGCTTTGAGCTGTTTGAGCCCCTCAGCCAAATAAGAATACAGCTGGATGGTGGTCAAGCGGTCTGCTACAGTTGACCATTTTGTTGTTGGGTCAAGATATGACAAAATGGATACTAACAGATCTCTGTCATCCAGCAGGGTCTGGTTACAAGGAAAAAATAATTTTTAAGCCATTTAAATTACCCTCAACTACATCTGTCATAACATTAAAATTTCATCATATGAAATCACCTAATATTTTTCTATAAAGGACATTAACACCCAATCTTTTTAAATTGAATATCAAACTGGTATTTGACCCTGCTCAACAACTTATTATACTAAAGGTAACATTTCTAATATTTTTGATTTGTTGTCAGACTCCAAAGAATGATCTCATGTAGAGCAAACATTTCTATCACCAGCAGAATACACAATGACCTTGGATTTGAATCTTAGAAGGCAGTCATCAAGAGTAGTAAAATTTACCATATATTTGGGGAAATGAATGCTTTTCTTTTAAATTTTAAAATTCCAGTCACTTCGTGTCAGCTGACCAAAACCCCATCTTGCAGTAATATAAGACATAAGAAGCAAAATTGAAATACCTTATTTTTTTATACTGTAATTTTTGCCAAAAAACTTTTATTAAAATTCGGTTTACTTGTAATTTTCACTATTAAAATAGTTTGGTTTTAATTTTTTTTAATAAAATACCTTTTTTCAGAAATTCAATCATTTTCGTACATACCGGTATTGATTTGCGAGCGATCTAAATTTTAAAAAAAAATAGCTTACCTCTTCTTGAACTTCATTCCACAATGCCTCACAGATGGCCAGGTCTTCCTTAATGTCAGGCTTAGGCATTGATTTAGGGACAAGGGTGAAGTTCAATTCAGGTGCAGTATTTAGCTCCGAGATAGATTCACCAACACGATTTTTGTTCATGATGCGCACACAACGAGAAGAAGGATGGAAACCTTCAGCTTTGGCAGAAATATGGTAATAGCCATCACCCAGCAAACGGTAATAATCTCCATCTTCCACTAGAGTTAGAAGTAAATATGCAAAATTACATAATTTTAAGTCAAAAATAATTTTAAGAAATAAAAATTATTATTTTCACAAGGTATTACATCTTACATAAATTGGGAAATTATAAGTTTATAAATGTTAGACCAGTATGTCAACATGTACTTACAAGACAAAATGTCATGTTCAATGGGCAAACCAGATGCTAAATTACTGACTTTAATTTCTGCATTGGCAACCGGTGCATTTTCAGAGGATTTTACAAAGCCTTTGATGCCAATGTGTGTCTAGCAGAAAAAAAACAAAGAAAGAGTTATTTTTGTGTACTAATCAAGTACTATGGCAAATATATGATGTGATGTTTCAAAAATAACAGGTGCGCAATTTAAGACTATGAAAAAGTTACTTAGTATATTGTTTGCAAAAGAAACAAAGTGTATTGAAAATATAATTAATACAAACGTCAGATTTAGACATTTCCAAAAAGAGCAAATTATTTCTTGAAGTCTGACATTAAAATATTCATCCATAAGCTCAATATGAAATATATTATGTTATCCTTAAGTGTAATGATATAAAATGTAAAACCTGTAAAATGTAGTTAAATAGGGCAGCAGCATTCTCTAGCCAAAGCTCTTCAAGATGGGAAGCAGGAGGGAATTTCTTACATCCCAGCTCTAAAGTGATCTCAAAGCAGTTTGTATTCAAATAATTGTAGTCTTGCATACCTATAAGTAGATATAACCAAACCAATGTGAATGTGACATTACTTCTATGTGAAAAATACATTTTAGACAGACAACAAATCCATCCTTTAATTAGTAACTAACTTACATTTAAGCAGTATTTAAGAAATATTGTTATTGTAATGTTCTTCAAAAATTTAGCTTATTACACTGGTCTTTGGAGAGATGAGGGAGAGAGGGCGGAAGAGAAAATAAAAGTTAATATTCTGATACTTCAATTTCACTGATTATAACCATTAAATCATAACAGATGATTGCTTAATATTCTGCTACACATTTCTGACTACAGAATGTGGACTTGGATTGTTTCTTATTTCGGCGTCTTTTGTTGTTTTTTTTAATGATTATTTTTCAGACTGCAACGACTTACAAAAGGAGGGCTAATTTTAAGGACCAAATATTAGCTGTCAAACTTTAAGAGCTACACGCAACAGTTGGCATGATTGGACACCAATACTTTTTGCCAACATGTGATAGAAATCTCTATATATAGTCTATAGTGAAAAAATAATGTGGCCATTATTACAAAAAGCTCAGCTCCCAAAAACTTTCAATTTGGCGCAAACTTTCCATGTGGATTGGACCAGAAAGTGTCAAAGTGCACAGAGAAAGTGCTTTTAATAATTTCAGCATGTCAACCAAATGGTTGGTTCAGACTTTTCCAACTCAAATAGGCCTGGCCTATCCGGGGGAATCTGTTTATCATGTCCAAAAATTGGTTGTGCCCTACCAACTATTGAAATTTTAGACCTAGCAAACTTAATAAATGAAATACATATTCTGAATTTTGAGAGAAATTTCATTATTCTTATCTTATTACTTGACATTTAAAAAAGGGTTAATCAAATTTTGCTAAGAATCAAGAAGGTACTCAATTTTAAACCATTAATCATATTCTAAACTTTTTTTACCGGTATAGAGTAGACTTTAAAAGACTTTCTTTTCAAAAGACGTTTTCTTACCCAATCCATTATAGATATATATAGATATATAATATATATATCAATGTTTGAAGCAGGGTTGAATATTTAAATTTTAAAAATTGATTTTAATTGTTTCAATCACACTTATTTATGACACCAGCTTATATAAGTTTTGTTCTTTTATATATTAATATTCACATAATATATTCTTTCTGTATATATAATCATGATTGGACGCTAAAGTTTAATAATAATAATTTTTATTTAATTAAACTTTTCATTTTTAGAAATTATAAATTGATTTGGGGTTGAGAAAGCTGGAAAATTAGTTTTTCTATTCAATTTATTTAATAATAAGACTTTGGTGGAACGATATGGATGAATGACAATATTAAGAAATAATTTGAAAGTGTAAAACTGAAATTGAATTGAAATTCTTATTTATATAAAATAGATAGAGACTACAATATTATTAATAATAAAGAAATCCTTTTTTTTTTAAGGCAGAAAAAATCTATTTAAATCTTTTTTTTTTTTATTTTATTAAATACAATATTAATTTCAAAAATTGATTTAAATACCATTAAGTAAATCTTGTGTATACTTGAAAATTTAAAGAAATCCATTTAAAGTATGACAAAAACTTATTTCAAGAAAAAAGAGGGTTAAATTTAAAAAATGCAAATTAATTCCAAAAAACAGACTAAAATACTATTAACTATACTATGTTCAAAATTTATAAACATTTAATCCTTTTATCAACCCAGGTTTGAAGAAGTTATTTATATAAATTTGTATTTATTTCTGCATCTTCTTTACTAGATATAATTCTCATAATTTGCACCAACCTTTAGCAACAGAATACCAAAGTCCACCATTAGTAATTGGTTTGTTGTCCCCTTCTTTATCACATGGAGGTCTATTAGAATCTGCCATAGTCTTGTGGTAGAAGGCATAGGACTTGGCTAAGTAGCTATTGAAATATGCCATAATATTGTAATTGATATTTATAGTTAACTAAAAAAAAAATGCTAACTAAATATGTGAGCCCATGCTCCACATGTAGTTTATTGCTCATGACAGAAAACTCTTGCAATAATTATTTCTGATTTGTTTATTTTAAAATGGGCAAACAATCTGCTACCTCATCAGCATATGCCAGTCCATGTCATGTGGTCGGGTATATAGGAAAAGATTGGTGATTAAGGGGTGGTGGGGATTGAGAGGTAGCCATGCTTTTTTTTTTTAAGGTAAGGGGTTTGATGAGAGTACATTAGTTTCAAGAAAGATGAGGGGGATAGGGCAGGAGAGAATGGGGGCTAGGGTATAGAGGCTTGGAGGGTTGAGTTTAATTTTTTTTTTAAACTGAATCAAGCTAAAAATTCAACTTACACAAAAGTATGGTCATCAGGGCACGCTGTGTACTCTTGGCTTTTTCCAGTTCTGGTCTCATCATAAGGATAGTTTGCTACCAGGTCACCACCGTGAAGATTGGCAGACAGCACAAACCCAATCTTAGCCAACCAGCCCATTACTGATCTAGTCTCTGGCTGTAACTGCCATAGTAAAATAAAATTTAAAACTAGATGTTGCAAAATATTTTCATTTATTCCATAATTTTATTTTTAACAATAAAGAGAAATAGACAAAAAAAATTCTTAACCTGTTGTAAATTTTCTATAGCAAGTAAGAAATTATTATTACATACATAAAGGGAGAAAAGATAGGTCACTTGAAATACATGCACACATGAGAAAATACAGAAAACACAACACCTACAGGATCATTTAACTTACTGTATGGTCATTAGCAATAGCATTCTCTACTTTCATCAGATGATTGTTCCTGCCCTTGTGCTCTCTTTCATTCTCATAAACAGCAGCATTCAAGTCTGGGAAGTTGCGATTAAGATCAACACCATTTGCATTTGATCGACCTGTCAGCCAACCAGCTTCTCCTTTCTCCTTCATTTAAAAATGAATATGCTTGATTACTACCTAGTATTTATAAACAAATTAAATTATTTTTTTATGTTTTATTTTTATTACAGTGCAAGTAATTATTTAAATAAAAATTGTTTACATAATTTTTAAGTTACAAGAACCATAGTTTTAAAAAAATGCCTTACCTGCATCTCTTTATATGCAGCTTCCCAGCCATCAGGATTCATGGATGGCAGGATGTGAACACGAGTCTGACTGACAATAAATTTAGATAAATCATCCCCAGTCTTATATCCTTCACACAGTGCTATCATTAAGTACAAGAGCATCTCTTTTCCAACTACTTCATTTCCATGCATATTTCCTACATATTTGAATTCTGGTTTTCCTGTGAATTATAAAAAAAAAAAAAAAAAGATTTAATTAGTTTAAAGAATTTGCTCCCTTTAAGATTTTTTTTGTAAATGTCTGCATCATATTTACCTATTATAATTTTATACATGTGATGTACAGTGCTATCATTAAGTACAAGAGCATTTCTTTTCCAACTACTTCATTTCCATGCATATTTCCTACATATTTGAATTCTGGTTTTCCTGTGAATTATAAAAAAAAAAAAAAAAGATTTAATTAGTTTAAAGAATTTGCTCCCTTTAAGATTTTTTTTGTAAATGTCTGCATCATATTTACCTATTATAATTTTATACATGTGATGTACTTCTTTATTTAACAAAAATTAAACAACTAATAAAGTAAAATGCTTTAAATACCTTTTTTTTAAAATATGAAATAAAGCAGATAGAATAAGTTTAGCATGCTTTAAAGTGCAATTTTTTAACACTTAATTACAATAGTTTAACTGCAATTTCATTTAAGTTGACAGGGCATAAGTCAGGATATTACTGTTTGTGAGGGGAGGCTCAAGTATATAAACCATGCGAAATTTGGATCTTTCACTAATCAGCAGGCCTCTCAAGAAACTTTCTTCATGTGCTTGGACTTAGACCTATGACATTGTATGAGTTCATGCCATGGAATTCTATGTTGAGGTAGTGTATATACAAAGTTATAAGAATTGTAGAAGCTGTATGTAATGTTGAGTGACTGATAGATATATAAGAAGACTTATTTAGAGATATCCTGGAAGATCCACCATAAGTAGATAGAGTAGGGACTTTGTATAGTATTATGTTTTGCAAGTGATTTTTAATATGTTTCAGGAATAGTCACCCCTTCTAGTGTTAGTTGAGACAATTCGTTACAAATGTGTAGCCATTTTGACAGAAGACAGATACTAACACTTTGCGACCACAAGCAGAAAAGAGAACCAGTCACAATCATAGATGATAGGGCCATAACATAACAGATCAATAAGTAGAGAAGACGTAATAAGCATCCAGGACTCCACAGTTAACAAGGGGTGGCATTTTGCTTGCTGAATTATTGCCATCGATTGTAACATACACTCATTGAGGTAGTTTATTTAATCTAAGAATTATGTTATATACTTCTTATTAAATTTAATTAAGTTATCTGTAGTTATTTTGATTTACATAGAGAAATGTTCAGTTTCTTATATATTGGGCACATCAAAACAATGAGGTGTCAGAAAAATTGTAGAGATTTAGGGAAAGATCACCTGAGCATAAGAGAGCTCATTGACAATTATGATTAAGTACAGTGAAAAAAGTGGTTAGTTAAATGATATCCATTTTAGATTTTAACCCATTATCTAAGTCTTTGTCTTGGCTAATTAAGAGTATTCAGAGTTAGTTCTGAATGATGCTGATAGACCTATAGCAGAGAATAGGCCATGCATGCTGTAACTTTCTAAATGTCAAATTTTCCACATTTTAAAGGAGACACTAATAGACACTAATAACTAAAAACCTAAAAATGATTGAGAGGAACTTATTAAAATAAAGTTAGATCATGTAACACAAAATTGTCTTTATACAAATGCAATTTTAAAAAATATTTTCAACAGGACTTGAGAAAGCCCTAGAGCAGGGGTCTAACTTTTTAAACAAGGTCCTCAGACACTGTCAGGGGAGCCACTCTATAGTTTGAAAAAAATTGACTGAATTCCATGCACACTGCACAAATCTTATTTGTAGTGGAAAAAAAAATTTGAAAATAAAACATTTAAAATGAAGAAAAAAATATATCCAACACAAACTTAATAGTGTTTCAAAGGGAAGTATGGCTAATGAGATGATCAGTGTTTGGAACCATAATTGATGCTACTAGCCAGGTACCTTTACACAGGCAGACAGGATCTGGCCTGTGGGCCGTAGTTTGAAAACCCCTGCCTTGATCTCTGATAACATTTTTAAAGTCGCTTTTTTTTTTAAATCATAATTAGGCCAACAAGTTTAGATAGAAAAAGCAGTTATGTTATGCAACACAGGTGGCTCATTTCTGCTCTAAGACTAAGTGTCAAACTTTGACTCAACGACATAGCCCAGCCTACATTTGTAAAAATTTTAATATTGTCTGTGAATTATTCATTCCATATTCAACATTGTTAGACCTAAAAATGTAACAATTTTTATTTAATATGCATTTTTAAATACTAATATTAATACTAGGCCTAATTCATCAGAACAATTTTTGGTCAATTTACTCAATCCATGCCACTTTGAGTTTCTTTGTAGGATTCCCTCCCTTTTGTTTATTTTTGGATTGTTACTAGAATTAACCTTTTTTCTTTTTTTTTTTCATATTAATACACTGATAGAATAATTTAAATTAATATTTCATTGGGTGGGCTGACATTTTGGAACAGTATAGTATTGATTTTTGGTGGAACCTGCTTTAAAATTAAGCGTGTAATAGTGTATTCAAAGAAACTGTAAGTTGGGCTTTCATTATTTTAAATATTTTAAAAGTAATTTTATTCTTTTTATTCAAATGTATGCTTTTCTCAGTACAGTGTGTAGTAACTGTATCGCACAAACACCTGGTTTTAGTTTTAGGGTTCTTGTTACTGTTAGGCGTTAGGTCATAGATTTTAGGTTTGAAGATTTACGCTTACTTACGTTAGGGGGGACTAAATCATACTAAATGTGAATTTATGCTCAAATTAGGGGGTCTTAAATTTAGGTGTGAATTTATGCTCCAGTTAGGGGGACTAAATTTATGTTGGAATTTCCGGATTGACGCTTGAGTTAGGAATACTGGCTTAGCATTCAGTTTCAGCTTACATAGAGTTGTAGATTTTTCTAAATTTAGGGGTGAATTTTTGCTCAAGTTAGGAGGACTAAATTTACTGTGGAATTTATGCTTGAGTTTGGGATATTGACTTAGATTTCAGGTTACGATGTAACTTACGTAGAGTTGCAGAATTGTCTTTAAAAATTGTCATTAAATTTACATGTGCTTAAATTTGCTTTGCTAATTGTAACTACTTTTTAGCAGAGCTGTTTTTGCATTAACTAATGATGGTTGCAGTGAAGAGTGGGAGAAAAAAGTAGATCAAAACCACAGTGAAATGAGTGGCGCAGATTGTGTAAATTTAGCCAATTTTTCTCCCAATTTAAACAAAATAAAATTTTTTTATAGGGTAAACAATATGACTACATTTTATTTAAATTTGAAGAAAAGGAACAACATAGACATCACATAGTAACGGTACTAACCAGGTTTGTGGACACCAGGATTTTCAGTTATTTCCAGCACAGTCAGGTTCCTACCCTGAACAGATGGTTCACTTAAATTATATATCCTTGTTATTTCCGGACACTCCTTGTTAACATCCATCATAAGCGATATCATATTTTCATAATTATGGTGGAGAAAAATTGAACTCTTAACAGACTTGTCATCTGAAGCCTTGCTGCCATTTAGATTTTCCTTGATCTCTCCCTCGTTAACTTCAGTTTGAGCACTTTGGCTAAGACTGACACATATTACGAATAGAAATACCTGAAAGGCTTGAAAATTTGATATATTTTTCATGATTTGTGTCTCATATAATTGATATAAAGCTATATATTAAATTTTATAAAAGCAATCAGCAGCTGCCCTGATTGAAATGTGATGGAGAGTCAAATAATGTTAATTTATCCACTTGTTTGGTTGTGACGGTAGCATTTTGACGTCAATAGGGATATTTCATCAAAATATATAAAATAATTTACGGTTTGGTAAAAAATAGTTACAGAGTATTTTATATTTATATTATTATATATAGAGAGATATAATTTATATAAAAATTGATTATTTAAATTCAGCTGATAACAGTTATTGTATTAATTTCATTTTAAAAGTATTATATCAATGAGGTGTCCCCTATGGGCGCGAGAAGATGGCAGCTACCATTGCAGGACGATTTTGCAATAAGCTGCAGCATATATATATAGGATTTAAACAATTACAGTGAGTTATTTTGAATATCTTAGTATTTTCTATCGAATGAAGGTTTTTATTTAATTGGCAATTAATTATATGCATGAAACAAAAATTTATAATATGTCATACTGTGTTACGTTGAAGAAACTGTTGATTGTTTACACTTACACGGCTGGAGAATATGACAATTTAAAAAACATGGAGTAGCAAATTTTTAATTTGTCGAGACTTCGCAAGTAATACTGAGTTCAGTAGTAATATATTGGCAGGAAAAATATTTTTCAAGTTCCTGACTTGAAACATTGAAGTTCCTTCAATAGCTTGTGTGTTTAATTTTTGAAGGTCATAAATCAGAAATGATAAATTTCATAAATTGAGATTTCATAGTAGTAAGTAGATCTAGTCCTATACTACACTTAACTATACTATACTATATTACTATATACTATAATTATAGTACTATAGTATAGTATGGTCCATGGTTCCTGCATCCGTGAAATTTAGATTAATTTACGTTTCGAGCACCACTCATTCCCCAGTAAAAGTGCAATTCAGGTTCGTAGATTATTTCTTAATGAATTTTTTATTTTTGCATGTAATCTCACACATAATCTTGAAGTGTCTACATGTCCGGTGACTAGACAAATTACTCTCAAGATATTCGTCTGGCGACCAGGTCACATGACCGCCATACCAAAGTTGGGCCAGATTGCAGGACGATTTTGCAATAAGCTTGTCACGTGACCGCTAATAGTCGATCATAAAACTGGCGTCAGAGATGGAGGCGACGAGTAAACACTCCATTTCAAGAAATAAGTTTGGGGGGGGGGGTGGAGAGCGATTGCATACTAGAAGGAAGAAATACTGAGATCGAGAGAGAAAGGATAAAAATGATAGTGAGGGTGATGAATAATTAAGGTGGGGGTGTCAAAAGTTCACAAAGAAATAGACCCTACATCTTAATATAGGGCCAATAAAGTGTGCTGTTGGGGTAGCCTACTTTTCACTCAATATTAATAGCCTAAAATAAAACTTTTGTGACAGTAGATCTAATGACAGTCAAATGCGAGGTATTGGTCTTATTTTCTTTGGTTCATATTTTAAATTTAGGCTACTAGTACTAAGCAGAGCTTTATAAGATATTTAAAGCAAGATAACAGCCCTTTTTTAAAATTTTGCCGGCGACCTCTTTTCACATGACATGTCTGCCGTAAAAATAACCCAAATCTCAGTCGTCCAGCGGTCACGTGACATTCCCTCTTTCAAAACATTGGCACCTCATTGACTATGTCATGATCAGGAGAAAGGGCAGTCAAGACGTGCATGTAAAAAAAGTCTATGTGTGATGCAGACTGCTGGACAGATCATCGTCTTATAATCACCAAGCTCAACCTACACATACAACCTAAAAGACGCCCACAGGGAAAGAACACCCCTAAACGTCTAAATATCACAAAGTTGAAAAGCCCCAACATTAAGAAATCTTTTGCGGATGCCCTGAAAGAACGTATGGAGTCCACACTATTGGAAAATGATAACGTCGAAGCAAACTGGGCATCACTTAGATCGCCATGGAGTTTCTGGGGCCAAGTTCAAAAAGACATCATGACTGTTTTGATAACTGTGAATTAATCGAGCAACTGCTTGAGGAAAAACACTGTCTCCACCACGCTTCCCTAAACAACCCGATGTCAGTCCCAATGAAAGATGCGTACCAAGTATAAGAAGAACAATGCAGCAGAGTCTAATGCAGAATAAATGGTTGAGAGACAAGGCCGACGAGATCCAAGGCTATGCTGACCGACATGACCTAAAAAATTTCTACTCCGCTCTGAAAACAGTCTACAGCTCCACTTCATCAGGATCATCCCCACTTCCAAACTTAACTGAAAGTATATCAGGCCGCTGTTCTCCCTGCTCTAATCTATCTCTGTGAAACGTGGACGGTATACCTACGCCATGCAAGAATACTGAACCACTTTCATACAACATGACTCAGAAAAATACTCAACATTAAAGGGCAGGACAGAGTCCCAGTCACTGAGGTGCTCACACAGGCAGGTCTCCCCAGCATCTTTACCATCTTAATGAAGTCCCAGTTTGCTGGGCGGGACATGTTGTGAGACTGTCAGATGACCGTCTGCTTTTCTATGGTTAGCTCGAACATTGGAAGCGATCTGCTGGCAGGCAGAAGAAACGTTTTAAAGACAACATAAAAGCCTCCTCACTGAAAGCGTTTGACATAAACCTAGACACTTGGGAGGATAAAGCAAAGGATCGAACATCATGGCGTTCCACTTTACACAGGAGCTCCTTGATGAAGGTATTTTTTTTATTGCGGCCATAGTCAATGAAGTTTTTGCTCTGAGAATTACAAACTGGCATTGAACAACTTTACTTAGTCATGGATCCGTCCCATTAAGAGTACTTAATTTGTGAAAACTTTAGATACCGGTATCTAAGACATTGCTAAATGATTATCCATCTTATTTTTTTTAACCTGAGGTATCATTTGAAACAATTCATCTGCTATTTATATTATTAATCAAGGTACAAGGTTTCAATTGTACTTTGGTTAAATTGTCACTATGCACACTTAATCATTTAATTGTACAAAATTGTACCTTAAAGGGTCATATAAACAAAAAATGTTACAGGGAATTTTTATAATGGGGTAAAGACTCTGTGACCTCCATTATTAGCATCACCTCCTAGAAAATGTAAAGTAATTTCATTGAAATCTGCAAATGTTTATAAAGTTAGTCAAGTCGTGCCTAATGACTTTGGGATCAGCACTGAGAGAAGCTTATTACTTTTTTTTTTTTTAAATTCACTTTGTGAAATAGCTTCTAAAGGTGACTTACAAATTGTGGAAGTCAATAAACTTTTTTATTCACTGCATGTTAGCGATGAAGAAAAACAAAAATAAATAAAGATATTTTTATTTTTTATGCTTTTGTTAAGATATAAGTAAAGATATAAGGAACTTTTAAAACGTAAAGACATTGGCTCCTCTTTAAAGCTCATTCACTAAATACTGATTTTGCATTACTAATTAATTATTTCATGTTGTTTATAGTATAGCCCCCTTGTACTACATGACTCTTTTTCAAGGCCGATAAGGATTCCACAATTTTAAATCATTTTTTTCCACAATTTTAAATCATTTTTTTCCTATATAATTTTTAACAATTTTGGTTTCAAAACAAGATCTTCTTCAGTTGCCCCCATTAGCTTCATAGCTCCCTTAAATGTATTGAGTATTGTAAAACATTATGTGTAAGATAACTTTAGTTAATAACCTGCTTTCATTCACTCTATCATATAATATAAGTATTTTTTGCACCTTTTTCACTATTAGTGGCCTAACTTTTAATTTTGTGTCTTTCAGGCTGAAAAATGTTCAACTTAACTCTGCCAGTTTCCAGCTCTCATCCAATAAAAATCAGTGTATTAGACTTTTATCTCATGCATCCATGCTTTGTACACAAAGTAGTAATGAAGGCTCGCAGCCAGTCTTAAACCAAAAGCCCAAGTACCCACCAAATGTGTTTTTCTTGTTTTTGCAGAAAATTGCACCACAACTCAAAAAAGAAAATCCAGGTATGGAAATTAACATTTTATTGTTTATTATTTTCATGTTGTTCAAAAATTATTTCACTTTAATACTTTATACTTAAATCTAGTCTGAGTCTAATTAATTGCAACAGACATGAATTTGTTATTTTTCATTCATTGTACATATTTTTTTTCAGTCTTGAAAGTCATTGTTTGAGTTTTTCATAATTCCATAAAATTAGTCTGTAGCAAGACTTTCGTCAAATAATTGTGCGGTATGAGTAAGTGTTGAGTTCTTGAATGTGAGTTGTAATTTTGAACAGTCTTGGCTTTTTTGTTTGAAAGGAGTTCTCAGTTTTTGTTTCAAGATCATGGACACTACTTACGTCTTAAGCTGATTTGTCTTATGAAATTCCTATAAACAATCTAGGATATACAAAAAGTGTTATACTAGGGGAATTATAGCATTCAATTTCTATTTTTTTTAGATGAGGTCAAGCAAGAGAATAAGAAAGATTACGCTCATATACACAACTATAAGTAAATTGTCAATTTACTGACTAAATCAGCCCACATTAATCCATGCCAAGTAATTGGTCGCTGATTAAATATATATTGTGCATTAAAATGTGTTTTGAAATTAATTGAAGAATTTTTAATAATAGTTCAAATATACAATATATCACAATGATGGAGTTACTACCTAAGTTATGGATAGTAAATTTAAATTATTATTATTATGAGAAAATAAGCCTTTGATTGCCAGCATGAAAGGCGATAAGTTGAATAGACCCGTAAAGGGTTTGTGGTGGTGTTTATGAGGGTGTCAATTACATCAGAGCCAAAAATTGTCCAACTATTAACACAATAGCTAGCCAGTGAAGCAGCAATTAAAAATGACACCATTTATTGATAAATGGAACATAAATGAAAGTTGCTGTACTGTAGATTCCTTCTTTTTTTTTTCTCCAAACTGATGAACTATTTACCTAGGTATGATTTGGTAGTTAAACTAGTTTAAAGCTCTTTGTGTTTAAAAAAATCTTAATTTTGATACCAGAACTACCACAAAAAATGTTCACTCACACACTCTCACACACACCCTGTTTGTCCATTTTGCTTTCTATATAAACCAAGAGAGATAGATTGCAAATGTGTTTGAGGGATTACCATTGTTAACTTTTTTGTTTAATTTAATCCATCAGATGTGAAACGTAAAGACCTAGTCAGCCAAGCTGCCAAAATGTGGAATGAATTGAATCCAGAAGAAAAGTCGGTTAGTAATGCAATAATTTTTACAGCATTTACACCTATTTAATGACAAGACATTTACAGCTTAATAAACCATTGCACTTTTTTTTTTTTTAAATTCATTTCAACACAGATATTTCTTTAAAATACTGATTACTTTCAAGATGTTTTGTTTGTTTTTAAAAATAACTGTACATTTTGACCACAGCATTTGGCTATGGAAAGAAGAGAACATTTTGAAAAGTACAAGGAAGATCTTAAAGTGTACCTAGAAAACATCACTCCAGAACAAATAACTAAAATAGAATCCAAGAAAATACAGACAGCTGCACAGAAAAAAAGGAAGGTGAGTGGTTACAACATTTTATTTATCTGTGGTTAATAAAAAAAATAATTCAGAATTTGTTTTTATTTTTTAAAGCTTAGGCAGTTTAGATTTAACAGGCTCACTTATAGTTATAAAAATTGATCATGTATTATTGCCGTTAGGTGGAACCAGTGGATAGTTTGCACCCGTAGTTTGGGGTTGTCAACGTGGGTACTTGCAGTTGCCTCTCAGATATGTTACCCTTATGGCCTTTTTTTAGCGTAAATATAAAAATTGTTAAACAGACATCTCAAAATCATTTCCATAACAAGTTGAAACTGAAAAACAATTGTTATAAATCTATGTGATTTTTAATAAACATTTTTTTTTTAAAGCATAAGCAAGAGCAAAGGAGAAAACAATTCTCAGACTTTACATATGAATGACTAATCCATACTGAATAACAACAAGCGACATTGATGTGGAGTGGATAGATCGCACCCCTTATTTTAATCAAAAAATTTTATTAAAAAGTGTGACCTTTATGCTAGTATGTACATTAATTTTTATATATAATGATGTTTACAACTCTCGCTGGTATAGCCTGCCTAAACTAATGGGGCAAGTTTGTTGCAGATAACTGTAATATAGTAAAAAAAAAAAAAAAAAAAAAAATAAAAAAAAAGGGGAAAATTTTTTAAAAAAAAAAAAAAAAAAAAAAAAAAAAAAAAAAAAAAAAAAAATTAAAAAAAATTGTTACTAGCCATATCTTTTTAATTAACTGTGCCAAGAAAACTTTCATGTTTTTAGTTTAGGCACATAGGTATTGTACTTATCATTTAACTTTTATTTTACTTACTCTAATGTCATCCCAAAAATATTGGTACTTTCTTCTAAGACTTTGTTTTATATAACAATCTACTGCCATTTTTTTTTTTCTAATTATAATTTATTATACATCATAAAAAGGAAAGACGAGCCTTTGGCATGCCACGCAAGCCTGTTGGTGCCTTCAGTGTCTTTGTTGCCGAAAATTTTTCTCAACGAACTGATAATGTTCCTGTTTCAGTGAGTGTTCCAAGTTTTTTTTTAATAGTAATTATAATTGTAGTCACCAAATTTTGTGACATTTCTCAGATATCATATTTATGTTCTTGTTAATTACTTAATAACTATTTTTATTTTCTTACACAAATTGCTGTTTTATAAGCAAGTTATTATCATTTACAATGTCACTATCTTGAGAAAGTAAAACTTGAAATGCTGCATTCTCTCATTAAATAGAAACAGAATGCTTTAATTCCCCCTTAACTATCTTCAGGATATTGGAATGTATATATTTTTTTTAAACATTTCTTTAAAGTTTAAATTATTGCTACATCTATACTATAACTCAGTGTTAAATATATATTTTACTGGTAGTTGATCTTTATATCATGCACAATTTTTTTTATTCAGATTTATTGATCTTAAACTTTTTCATTAATCATCTCTTTTGTTATTTAAAACAGATACATTTCAAAACACTGTTAAATCACTGGAATCAAATGAGTGATGCAGAAAAGGATGTAAGTTACTTTCTTTAATGACGTACAAAGATACATTAAACTGATAATATAACTGCCGGTTAATTTGAGCTCTTACCTAGTACTGAGCAGATCCTAGCTTTATATGTCCATATTTTTTATTCAGAAAGAAGAAAAGTTTTGTCAAATTTTAAAAATATATAGGCTTCATATGTTTATAATGACATTTGAGAACTCATGCACATATTATTTCAGATGGCTGAATTAGTTTTTATCCATATTTATAAGCAATCAACGTTTTTGCCTTCTCTGTGACTTATCACATATTTCCAAGTATAATGCGAAATAGGTATGGTAAAAATGCTTCTTACAGTTTGGTAGTTGCATTTTATGCGCATTTAAGCAATTTTTATTAAAACAATATGCTATGCCTTGCAACCAAATCTACTTGTACAACTAATATTGGCAACTGAGCTTGGATCATATCTGCACATAACGCCACTAATGTAAGTAGCGCCCCCTTTTCAGAATATTACCAGTTATAATAGTATAATCACAGGTCATTTTAAAAACTATGATAATTTAAAGGTTTTGATATTTTTATTTTAAAACTAGCCAATATACCCAGTTCCGCTCGGGTTTGTATTCATAAAAAAAATCTTCCGCCCTATCAGTGTACTTGTAAATTTAGGATCCTGTCAAAAACACTTTGCTAAAATACCAATTAAAATTAAACATTTTCTCGTATAAAAAGACATATTTATAACTTGTAAACATTGAATTTGGGGCCAAACCCCTTTTCATTTAATATTCACGCTCGGCACAGCACAAAAACATGATTTAAAGATAAATATAAAAGATGTCTTATTTAAAAAGTAATTCACAAATGTCAAAGTTATGGCCTTTATCAATTACAATAAAATAGGATCCCCAGCAGGAATCCATTCCAAAAGGGGCCATTTTAGTTATCCCAATAATAGGGGCACTATAAAAGTCATTCAGATAAATATTCAGGTTAATTTTTCAAATTTATTCCATTTAAATCGAAATTAATTAATTGAATTTGCAAAGATTTTGCCTTTTATTTTACTTTTAAAATTTACTATTGGGCCCATTATATGTGGGCGTGGCATTTTAGGAATTTCTTCCAAACAAAAAGGGAGTTCCCATTTTATGGGGATTATATTATACTCTGTAATATATGGTACATGCAATGTCAGAACTGTTTGTGATGTATATGTGACATCTAGAAAATTAATAAAGTGGATTCAAAAAAAAGAGAAGGTTTATGATTTTCCCCATCTGTTTTTCTGGTTTATCTTGTCAGGTATTTAGACACACTGTTTTTAGATATAATCCTAATTTGCTTGTATAACTGATAATTAAATATAAATATATTTTATGCATGTTATTTCAGCCTTACATAAAAAAGACTAAAGAGCTAAAAGCCAAATACCAAGAAGACATAGCTAAATGGGAAAAGGAGATGATTCAGGTTGGCCGTTTTCATTTGGTCAGGAAGACAACCCTAACTCAGTTAGCAAAAAACCCAAACAGAAATAAGAAGCAGAAACAAGTTGGATTTGCACCTGATGTAAAAGATCATTGAGGTTGTTACAGACTTTTGGTGAATGATTTAAATATGGCTTTGGTATTTCTTAGAGAGTGGAATACACAGAGACTGATGGGTTTCATAAAGACAAGTATTGCTTGCCAATTGTATTTAAAGAAGGGTCTATGATGCATTACACTTAATCTGAAAGATTTGCAAAACTCTTTGGCGTTGACCCCTGCAATTGTTTCATGATGGGGTTAAGAAATTTCTGGGTGCTGACTTGTTCCTATTTAATACTGGTAATAAGGGGAGAGACTACAATCAGGTTAGTACAAAATAAAATTATTAGTAAAACAGAGTATGGTTAAACCTGAAAAATTAAACGCAACAAAACAGCGAACGTGTCGGCAGAAAGCCTTCGTCAGCGAACAAAACAACAGAAAAAACGTTATAAAAATAAGAAATAGCACTTAGCTGGTAAGTAGTATCTGTATTCACACTTCTATTGCTGCCCACAGATACTACTTACCAGCTAAGTGCTATTTCTTATTTTTATAACGTTTTTTCTGTTGTTTTGTTCGCTGACGAAGGCTTTCTGCCGACACGTTCGCTGTTTTGTTGCGTTTAATTTTTCAGGTTTAACCATACTCTGTTTTACTCATTTTATTTAATACTGGTACCGGTATTGTGCATTTCCATTGTTTTAGCATATTTTTTTAATGCATTAGGTGTAAAAATGTCTTTATCTTTGGTGTAGTTGATAGCTTCAGACACTGATTTCAGACTTGATTTCACTCTGCAATGTACAAATCGATGGAGTTTGTTTAACAAAAATAAGTACACTTATTTCACTATTTGAAATTCTGTCCTTGCTCTTCTGAGACCACTGAGTAAAGGATCAATGTCATCAAATTAGGAGTTACGCCCATTTAAATTTTACTAACATCCTGACCATATTTCATTTCTTGATGAGAGTTTTTGAAGGGAAAGAACATTTTTGAAAAAGCTTTTTAGTTTACCAAATGAGAGTTAAAAAACAGATTGTGAGCTGGTGGGTATGTATTATTTTTAATGCCTTATCATATTTTTTGTTAGCAATTAATTTCAATATTTCAAACTACAAAACCAACATGATTACTGAAACATGTCTAAATTTAAAATAAGCAAGTCACAAAATGATAATCATCTCAGCATGTTTGATTTGATTTTATTTTTTTTAATTGCTATTTTTCTCTTTACTCAGGATCATGAAATTTTGATTTGTTATGTGATTGTCTTTGTCATTGAATTCATATATAACTGCCCTGACACAAACTTGTATTTGGGTAATAAAAATTAACTGCTGCTTTCTCAACTTTATTCAAATGATGGAATACTGTTTGACATGAATCTTAGTGGTAATAAAAAATATATATATTTTAGTGTAATCTTGTAAATATATTATTTTTATTCATAAGAGTAAGAGCAAAATATTATATTTAAAGATTTGCTATGAAAATTAAACCATTTAATCATGCTCTATGAAATAAGCACATTTTCCAATGGTCCTGCTCTATTGCTTGAGCAACATATTGGCAGCATATATCATCTTTCCTATCAAGAAAATATGAGCAATCTGAAAATTGCGTAAGCAATTCAGATCATTATTGCTAGTAAAACGTGTTCATTTGTTAATTTTGCTTCACATTTGAAACTTTACTGCAAATTTAATCCCAACTTTAAAATTATTTGCAGTAAATTGCAGTGGTCTTTCAAAATAATTGCTCTTTTCATCTCTTATTCTTAGTTACAAAGAATGAAATTGTGTCAGTTGTAAGTTGTGTGTATGGGTTGGCAAGAATCTTAAATGACATTTGAGGCTCCAGTGAATGTTAGATTTGAATTTTGTGCATGCTCATCCATGAAAATCAGTAACATCTATTTAGTTATTTTTAGAACTAGATTAGAGGTTTACATTAAACTGGCATTCACTTTAAATTTGCATTAATAAATAAAGTTTTCTACATTTTGTTTTGGTCTGTTTCTTAACATTTATTCGTACACCTAAATTTAAATTTACCAGTAAATAACTTAAACTATAGTGATTCAAAATCTTCTTCTATATATTAAGGGCCCATGATCAATTTATTGATCATTTTGGCTCCTATGCATGTAGAGGGGATGTGCAAAGTTTCTGTGCCTGGTGCTGATGAGGATATTTCAATGATTACAAGTGCGTTGTGAAGGAATCACGCAATGGGGCTTTGAACGCTTGAGGCAATAGACCCAAACGTGTCTAGTGTTGTCGCCTCAACTGTTCCTTTTGAAAGATGGTTCCAGTCCCTGATTGCCTTGGGCAGGAATGAGCAGCTCCTATACTGGCTTCTTGCAGGTATGAGCCGGAATTGCCTGTCATGGCCTCGTCACTGTCTATGGGGGAGAGGGACGAGTTTCTGTTTAATACTGGAACAGTGGACCAGCCCATTATTTATTTTGTACATCATGGAGAGCCTGGATTGTCGTCGTCGTTCCTCCAATGGTGACCAGCCTAGTGTTTCCAGCATACTGCCAACACTAGAGGTATTCCTGTATCGGTTCAGGACAAAGCGAGCCGCCCGTCGCTGGACCGCCTCCAACCTGTCAATGCTCTTCTGGGTAAATGGGTCCCAGACTGAAGATGCATAATCTAAAATCGGGCGGACAAAGAGCTTTCTCATACTGCTTTTGTATGGCACTGTTTCTTACATTTGTTAACTAATGATGTAAACTAGGCTCGTGACTTCAGCTTCCAGTTATAGAAAATTGCACAATAACAGAAAATGTAACTTATTATAACCGGTAACAATATATTCTGTAGTGAATAATTAGATGAAAAAATAAGACACCACCAGTATTTCTAGATCTATGTCTAAACACAAATATGGGACTCCAAAATTCTCAGTTAGTTAGCGATACTTTAATTTTAATAGTATTTAGAGAAAAGTCATCAGTGATATTATTTTATCAGTCAAATGATATTTATTATATACTTGTTCATTTACTTTTGAGGGCCAAGCTATGGCACCAGTCAGTACAACTGTGGTCATCCGTTGGGATCTGCAACATATTCCTAATGTACGTCATGCCTCTCCACAAAAAAAAAAATAAAAAACGGGGGGGGGGGGGTTATTAATATTATTTTAGGAGCAATTTTTAATTTTATAAAGGAATTATGGAAAAAACTTTGTTGTTAAGGTTTGTTTAAAAAAAAAAAAAAAACGGGGGGGGGGGGGTTATTAATATTATTTTAGGAGCATGTGAGCAATGGTAACACTTTGTCTTGCTATCCAGTCAGTACCTTTGCATTGCACAGTGTTGTATTACTACTATGCTAATAAGATTTTTTGCTGTTAACCTGTAGGTCATTGGCACATCCAGTTGTGGCCATGTAGCCCTGGATTGTGTGAGCTCTTTACCTACATGACTTGGAATCAATTAAACAATTTTAGCTTCTTCTTTAATCTTATTTACGACCTTCAAGATAACTCTAACCACCATGGTGTCTCCTGAACTCTATCCTTCTATCTTGTTTAATTTGTGTCATTTTTTGCAGCGCTTGCCCAGTTATGCGCAGATACATTTGTATACTATATGGTAAAAAAAAACTTATCCCACTATCAAGGCTGTTGAAATACAATCCCATCACCAAGTCTATAAGGGAAGAAATATAATCCAACTAACAATAGGGCCACAGACACAATCCCACTACCAATAAGGCTGTAGAGACTATCCCACTACCAATAAGTTTGAATAAGGCTAAAGAAATACAATCCCACCATCAGTAAGGCTGAAGGAACACAATCCCACTGGGTAACAAAAAGGCTGTAGAAATACGCCACCATAAGGCTTCAGAAACAATCCTACACAAAGCAACCGCACTGCCAGTAAAGTTGCAAAAACACAAGTGCACCAAATAATCAGTCCCACTACCAATAAAAAGGCTGTAGTAACAATCCCACACAAGCAATCTTACAGCACTCAGCCTGCTAATATTTTAAAATTGAGTGAAAACCAGGACTATCAAATCAAAATTAAATATTTCACAATGACTACACCATCTAAATGTTTTAGCATTTATTTCTAGATACAGTATTCCCCACTGAATCTATCCTTAAATGTTTTAGCATCTATATAAAGAATTGTAAACATTTTTATATACAAGAATCATTATTTATAAACAAACCATGTGTGCTGTCATAACTCTTCTGACGCCCTAGATTTATTGACAAATAATCCAATGAGCCACATGAAACCATTTACATCATTTGTTCACACGTCATTTAAAGAAACACAAAAATATACAATAAAAAGTGTAATCTTTATTGAGAAAAAAAATAATAATTCACTTACAATGTCCTCATCATTATGCGATAGGTATCAAAAGGTGTGATAATTGCCTTAATTTAGTAGATCTACTTCAGACGAGAAAGATGAGGGAAAAAAACAATCTATATCCCTGGTTTCCAACACATTTTTTAAAATGTGCGGCTGCGGTACTAACAAAATGCTGCGAACCCGCGCTCTATGGATATTACTTGGGGGGGGGGGGGGGTGGGGGTTGGTGGTGGGGGGGGGGGGGGGGGGGTTGGGGTTGGTGGTTGGGGGTGTTCAAGATTAGGTTTAACTTTCTTCTTTACATCTGTATTACATTGAGTACCGGTACTCCATTTAGTTCTTCAATTCTTGTGATTTCCTTGAAAGTAAACAAATCTTGCAAATTAAGCTTTTTGTTTACACATCTTTGGAGACTTGCATTGTTGGCCACATATTACATTATGACAGAAATCCATATGGAATTGAAATTAGACTGACCAAAAATTCTAATACCGGTAGTATTAGTATTAAATTAACTCAATGTCTTGTATCCGTATTTTAAAACTAGGTTGTATTTTAGAACAAACATTTCAGTCAAAATTCATGGTTTGTTTGCTGAACAAGTCCATAGTGATGTGACTTAAAAACATGGGAATACTGTTTTGTCTCTGCAAATATGTCTCCATGGCATCTTGGAGAGTCAATGAGAAATCTGTCTGGAGCAACTGGATTTCACCTCGTTCATTTTGCTGAAGACAAAAATATGTTGGGTAAAGCTATTAAAAGTTTTTAACAATAATTAGCACAGTTACTGAAACAGATCATACTAAGGATTTCATTCTGAACTAGGAAGTTTTATACTGTAAAAGTTATGTTAAAGTTCATTAACATTTAGCAAATTGCAGCTAAAAAAAATATTTGACAAAAGTAAATCAATTACATAATGGAGTTAACTCCCTTTGTTCAAGACCTTCCCAGAACCCACAAACTATGGTATAGAATCATGCTGTAGTGTGAGCTTTTTGAGTGCCTTTAGAAATAGCATTATGTATATGACATAGAAATATTGAAACAAGACCCCAATAAGTGTATATTTTTAGAACGGTAAATGGATGGGGATAAAGTTGGCTATTTTGCCCACCTTGTTAAAAAGAATTTGTTAAGTGAACATGACCTTGGAGTGTTCAAGAAAAAAAATCAACAAAATGTCTTGATTTCCAATTGCTCATAATATTATTGATTTTTAGATATTCCATTAAAATACTTATAAAATGTGGTAGAAAATTCATTTATCTCTCAGAAAATGTATAGTTTGCAAAGGTTTCTAATACAAATAAGCTTCTGAAAGCAATTTTAGTCATTTTAGGCCATTTATTACTGAAAAAAATAAATTTCGATCACAGCTAAAACCAATCGCAACATACAAAATCTCAGGCAAAAAGTTATTATTTGACAAGTAAAAATTTAAAAAGGAACTGCGGAACTGATTTGGGTTGTCCAACTATAAAATTTATTAGTTCTGATCTATAATATGTAGCTTCTGTAACTAAAATCCAGTCAGTCCTTGCCCAACCTCTGGGCCTGTCTAGAAGTCTAACAGTAGGTCTACCTCAGTATCACTAAGACCAGTATCAGATTCACTAGAAGAAGAATCCGATCTGAGCTTGTCATGGGGAATATTAAAATCATCATCAGTAGCACTAAAATACTCTCCTAAAAAGCTTTCAAAAATATTTCTATTAGTTCTTGTACTTTTACCAGAAGGCCCAGCCATAGCTTATCCACTTAAGCTTGTAGCTTTAGAAAAAAAATGGGACAATGAACAGCAATATAAAACTCCGATTAAAAAGTAATTATTATTACATTATCAACAAACAGCTTTACCCGGAAGATGATTTAATTATTAATAAAAGGAATTGGCTATAATTTCGGTTGAATATTGGATTGGAAGTTGCTATCTGACCGTGTTTTTTTGTCGGCAGATTTTTTCTTCCGCCACAGTACATAACAAAAATTTCGGCTGACCACAGTTTGTGGGATAAGTACCCATACCGGGTACTAGGGGTCGCAAAACCGGTCCCTTTTGCCACAACCGGTATTTTTTATATTGAAGTTTACGAATACAAGAATCCTGATGTTTTCTATATTTAGAGAATTTTTAGTCGAGATTCGAGATTAGAGGTGAGGATTTATCAAGAGAATAAAAAAAATCAATTAAAAAATATCACATTTTGATTTTTAATAAGCTCTTAACAATAACACAAATGTATAAAACTTTATACTGTATTTATTAAACGAACAAAAATAATATTCTTCACTTTTTAATTTAAATAGTTTTAGTAATCAAATATTAAAATAATTTGTGTTGTTTTAATCTTTGGTCAAATTTAAATAATGAGATCGTAAAAATTACAACTTGTATAAAGTTTGGTCACTTAACTTTGACCGCAAATGGTTACAAAAGTAACCTGATGACGAGAACACCCGCTCTGACTCCACACTGGTCGGAGGAATAGACATTTCATACGTAATTTCTAGATATTTTCCTCTTGAACCACCATTCTCAAATAAAGCCATTTCTATTTTATTAATGTCTCCATCCCTTAGTCTGGAAGTATTATTCTGAGCCTGTATTTCAATTTCTAATTGTGTCTTAAGCGGCAGTGTATCTTCAAGTTTGTCATGCTCAGATCCAAGATGTTCAATTTCATTGTTCATAGAGATTTCCAACGAGGAATATCCACGATATGTTTTCGCATCTTAAAAATAGTGTGAAGGCCTGAAGTTGTACCTCCCAATATTTTAAGTATCTTGTTACATCTAATGCATTTAACTGAGAGATTGCCCATAGCTTTCAAGAAATAATTTCAAACTAATGTCTTTGTTTCCAGTAGTTTCATATGCTTTTCATAATTAGGTTTATTTTTTTAGTGTCCTCATTTCTTTCTACTAACCTGAAGGGAAAATAAGCTATTAACAAAAATTTATTTATAAAATCGAATTGGTTTGACGTGTAAAACTTTTTTTTAAATGTTTAAATTTTCATGTAAACGTTTGCCTAAGTTCGGTACATACAAACTGGGGCAATCAGTCATGTAAATGTTTGGCTAGGTACGGTAAAGACAAACTGGGACATTCAGCCTGGGACAAAATAGCTTGAAAATCAATTACTGTATTTTACGGACTATAAGACGCACTTTAATTTTTAAGCAATTTTTAAAAATAAAATAACAGTTTTACCTATTTTTATATTAATTTTGAGTAAGACGCACATGAATTTTGGAGGCAATTTTTCGAAGAAAAAAGTGCATCTTATAGTCCATAAAATACGGTATGAGGTGTATGTAGATTATTAATATTGTTATCACAAAATAGGAGTAAAATAATTTTTCTAGATATTTTCCTCTTGAACCTTAAACTTAAGGTAATTGATTATCAAAATATGGATTTACTCATAGTTCAGCACATTGTTGAAGACGTGATAAGGTTTTTTGGCATAATTTTAAAAAATCAAGCAATCAAACATTTTTGTTATAAAAAGTTGACCCCGTGATTCGAGAGTTATTATTTCCATTTAAGTCATGTTACAAACAAACTCTTTACACAAGTCAACATTCGATCTTCATTCGACTATACCAATTACTTATTTGTCAATAATATGAAGACATTTAATTACTAATCCTGTACCTTCATGTCGCGACTCGTCTCCACTTACACACTACACACACACGATGTAAAAACAAAACTAATCACAATGCCATGATTTTTTACAAATGTACAGTACACAGGTCTAGTCCGTCTTTGAACGTGATACACTTGGTGTGAGGGATTCGCATTTCACAGCTCACATAAATTATTGATATTTCTTGCTTTAACTACGACATGGAAACTAAGAAAAACAATAAATATTTTTTGAAAATGAAATCCCTGGAATTTCAAAAATAACGGTTTTCATAAATCCAAGCCAGGTATTTTCGAGCATCCTTTGTGGTCTGGTAATCCAGTATTTTCGAGATTCTGGATCCCGGATTGCAACCCCTAACCAGTACTGAAGTAGCACAGCCATGAAATGAGTTAATATTTTAACTCGAAATACCTGAAAAAGCAGATGATCCCGTGAACTCTCAGCATACATGCTAGTGAGTCTATATTGATTTGTAGCTGGAATATCTAGCTTATAGCCAGTTAGTTGATAGCAGACCTCACGAAATTCATGACTTGTTTTCTTAAATACCTCCAACAATCGTTTATTACGTGTCTCTTCTCTCTTTAGTTGGGCTTTCAATTCTAAAAATTAAATCAAAAGAAAATGCATGTGAATGTTTTGTATAAAACATACAAAATTAATGTCAAAGTAAGAAAAATAATTTATTGAAAAATCTTGGTTATAAACATTTTTATTAAGCAATTTTTAAATTCACTGAACAAAATTACCAAAACTCACATCTTTTGATTACATCACCACCTAAAAACTAACGGGGGAATATTTTGCGTACACAAGCATTTTAATTGATTGGTTAAATCTTTGCTTGTATCTACTTGCACAAATATATAATATAAAACAGGTACAAAATGAGTGATGATAACCATGTATAAGTAATCATAATATTACCTTCCAATTCTTTACTAGGTGACGGATGCTGCAATTTCTCTTGAACTTGCAAGGTGATATTTTCAACGTTTCCTTCTTCTTCCAAAATTTGGTTTCGTTTACGAAGCTTCTCATTTTCTTCCTTAAATTTCTCCAGCTCAAGCTGGCGGGCTTTCTGTGCTATGGCACAGGGGTTCATCATAAACTGAAGTACTTTAATTTTTGATGGATCGTAGTCACCCTAGAATGACACATCAGTACATGAAGAATATAAGGAAATAATAATAATTAATGCTCATGTTTGCTGAGATTAGAACACATTAGAGCTCTTTCTAAATAGGTATTTAGTTTTAATATCTCTCTATAAATGCAAAGAAGAAGGTGGGTTGCAACTAATAAGTAGTGATCAAAATAAATCAATGACAATGTAATGCAAAAGTTGAATTTTAACCTTATTATGTAAGTTAATAAAATAGCATTAAAACATTAACATATAATAAAACATATATAATAAAAAATTTAACTTTCTTTTTTTTTCTGAATATTAACATAATGCCTGTATGAAAAATAGTCACTTCCAGGCTTTTTAATTTTTTTTTTTTTTTTAATCTATCACATTAAAGCACTAGAAAGCAGTAAAAATGCTCCTCTTGGGCAAAAAAGGCCATTTGAGCTAACCACTTTTCTCGTACAAATACCTGTAAGTCTCTTTGTTCTATCCTTGCTTCCAGTATATCTTTCTCCTCCTGTGTTTTCGATAAAGCAATCTCTAATTCTGCTACACGTTCTCTAAGAAGAATTGTGTTTGGATTAGCTCTAAAAACCATACTCTTATGAAGAGCAAGGTACCAAATCTAATCAAGTCTCAAGTAATGAAAAGTAAAATGCTTCCAATTAACAGAAATTGAAATTTTCTCTTTAAAATTTTCAGCAAATCTTTACTTTATTAAAAAGCAGGACGGGCTCCAGAATTTTAAATGTACATTCTAGACAAGCTAAACATAATAAAAAATTACTGAAACTTCCATCTGGCATGTGGCTAATTGCAGCTAACTTTAAGTTGTTGTATGAATAAGTGTCTAACTAACAAATAGAAGTCGCATTTTTTCAAGTCAGAAGTATTATATTAAATTAAGTATTTAAAACTAACTGGAGCTGCCGGATCATGTCTTGACTTTCCCTAGAGGATGGTTGCTGGCTTGTTGTACCTGATATCTGAAGTTGCTGCTGCATCTATTTCATAAAATATTATAATTAATAACAAAATCTGAACTTAAGATTGCATTGCAGATTTTTTAATGAAAATTTAACAGTGACTCATCTAAAATTTAACTAGTTTAAAATGAGTTACTTCCATTTTTTTGCTTTTTTAAATTCATTTTTCAACTTTGTGTCTTACGAGGTACATTCATCGCTTGAAATAAAACATTTTATAAATTAAAAGTTTTAAATCATAATTAATCATATGTAACAAAATGTACCTGGTCATATTTAGCTAGAGCGTCTGTCAGTCTTGCTGAAAGGCTGTCAATCTCAGCTTCCAATTCAGCTGTCTCTTGTTTATAACCAAGTATTACTTCCTCCAAATGCTGAACCTGACTTATCTTCTCAGAGTCAAAATTCATGGTAACCTCACTTTCATATGAATCAAGTAGGCTTTTGTAGCTATCTCTTTCCTGTCATAGTACAATTCCAAACTTTTCACATTTTTGGCATTACAAATATTAAACTTGAAACTAGGAAACTGATGAATAACTGAATAAGCAGCTGGTTAATTCCCTTTTAAGGTAAAAAAACATTTTAAAAAGTAAATAGCACTAATTGTTAATGTGAAGTACACAACAGCACTTACAGAGGTCAGTAACTATTCTGCCAAATACATATCAGTGAGAGTTTGAAAAAGTAAGTCCATGTTTCGTTTGTTTTATTTTGTTCTTATACTGCATTTGTATGGTGTATGTGGAGATTAACTAATTATTAAATCAAGGCTACAGGATTTAGTCATGATGTTTGTGCAGACTCTTAAACATGTATTAGTTTTGATAAGGTTCCAAATATGTTTATATGGTAAAGATCCAATTGAAGAGTATGGAGATGGACACAATGAGACGACAAAAATTAAATATCAGTAGTTAGTCTCCACCATGTTAACGCTTAGTGGATGGATGCAATATTTATGACAGAGAGGAGCAATCGAGCGCAGTGGAAGACATTTCAAAAAACGTTTATACAGTCAGTGATTACCTTTTTTATTAACATTAACTTTCTGTTAAGACGCTTATTAAAATCATTCTGCTGGGCCTCCTTGTTTTTGAAAGCCTGTAACTCTGTAGAAATTTTCTGTATTTCGGATTGAGCTGCCTCAAACTTCCGCTGTGATAAGTTTATCCTGCAATAAAATTTACAAAACATAATAATATTAAAGGTTAATACACCAAGAGCATATTGCTGAAGACATCATAAGGAAAAGATGGAGGTGAATAGGGCACGCTCTCGTACTCCCCCCAGATAACATCACCATACAATCCCTAACATGGAATCCACAGGGAATAATTAAGAGGGGAAGGCCTAAGAATACATCATGTTGCAAGCTAGAGGCAGACACTTAAAACTGCCACAGATGTTACGAAATTGCTTTATTGCAAAGACTTTTAAAACTAGGGTAAAAGTTAACATATCAATATCAGTCTTTTTCTTTCAGGCTTCAGGCCCAAAAGAGATATTTTATTGACTTAAAGTGATGAGTAACTGAATGTGAATCATATTCTTTTCCTTACACAGACTGCAATTCTCCCTGGGTTAGCATCAGATTCGCCTGAATCATTTCTAAATCTTGAACCCGCCTGGACAATGAGCTTGGAGACCTGATCAACAAAGAACAAGATTTTAAGCTTAGACAAGTCGGACAAGTCAAGTTTCAACCAACATATTTTGGTAATAAGTTAGTTGGTTTACACAAGAAGATGTAACTAAAATAAAGATTTAATAAGTGAATATATTCTTTGGAAGGTATTACTTCATAATGTTTTTTTAATAAAAAATAAAACTGTTTCTTTGAGCACAAAGGAAAAACATGTCATCACATTTTTTTTTTCAAATAACATGGTAAGAACTATTTTAAATAGATAACTTGATTTCTGATGAATTATCAGAACAGAGAGTTAATTGGTATAAAACAAAACGACCATGCATTTGACAAGTTTGTTTTTATCACAGGTCAATTCACCTTCATTTTCTTCCATCTGCTTTTATTTTTAATTTCAAAATATAAGATTTGACTTGTAGCTCAAGATTTTATTGCAAAAACCAAAAAATAAAACAAAAGTGGAACATTATAAGGAAACTATTCTCCTTCATCATTATTTGTCTCATCATTTACTCAATTCACAATTTTCATTGCCCATTTTACATTTGGTTACTTATGTTAATAATTTTTTTATAGAGTTTCCAGACTATCTTACTGAGGTCTCCTGCTCCCACTGGTGTCAGTAGCTTCCCATCGATGGAGTCTTCCCTGAAGCTCCTGAAAGGATTCAATTAATGAGTTTAAAGTTGCTATGTATTCCTATTGTTTTAAAGAAGTGGTCCAGCCTCTTCGATACACCTTTGCTGTTAATGGAAATAGCATCCATTTAGGAAATGTTATAGCTTTATGCTTTATTTTGTATAGGCCAATGGTTTCCAGCCCAGAGCTGATTATACTTGTCCTATTCAGCAACATGTGGGTCCTCCTTATGTAATAATTAATAGTCAAACTGTATTTCATATTAAATAAAATTAGAGCACTCAAATACCTTGATTGTAATGAATGATTTTTTTTTTGTGAATCTATGTCTAACAATGACATTTGGTAGATATGAATGTTTGAAATCACTTTCTTGTGAAATGGGATTTTTATAGTGAATCTAAATAAATTATGGTAGGCATCTAGACATGCCAAGTCTAAACAAATGAAAAATCGATAGAAACATCCTTGTGACTAACATATTTGCAATATAATTTCTTATGAAAATTATTGGTAACTCAGCATTCTATATAAAAAATTATATATAATTATAAGCAGTCTTTTATAATCTTAAATTTAAATAAATGATCTACAACAATATTTTAATATGCAATCAATTAATTAACTAGCTAAAGCAAATGATACCTCATTTTCTATTTCCAACTCAAATATTCTTTCTTGATTCGCTTCGACCAACTTCAACTTTGTTTTTAAACTCCTCACTTCTTCCTCAAGCAACAAGGTATTCTGTTCATTGCGGCTATTAAATAAATCCATTAACATTAAAGCTTTTATATATTAATCCCTCTTGAGGTTAAAAAAAAAAAATGTTTTAAATTAATTTTATTACTTAGTACTTATAAATACATGACCAATGTGTAGAAAACTGCTGTTATTATAAATAATTCAAATTATATTGTTAATGCCACAGTTCCTTTTCACAACAAATAAAGCTGTGACACAAGATACCAACTATAACGAATTATTTTATACATAGTGAAAAAAAGTAGATAATTTAACAGTTTAATCTGTTCACTGTGGTGATTTAAAATTTAAGGGTTAATTTTAAAAAATTGAAAGCCTATTACCGTAGCTGCTCATTGTCCGAACGTAATTTTTCAAGTTCATTCTTCATAAAGGGCACTTGGTCTAAATCTGTTTTCAAGGCACTTGTGATGATAAGGTTATCTTCATGGTCATGAAGCTTCTTTTCTAACTCCTGAAATAAATATACTTTGTTTAAAGGTTTGAACCACCATTATAACAATAGTATCTATAATAACATATCAATTTTCAAGACTTTCTTGTAAATTTTTACACACCCCTGTTCTGATAAAAGTGCTGCATTAGAATTATCTCAGATACTCAAATAAATATATGATGCATAGAAGGAAATTATCACAAATTTAGACAAGAAAGAAAGTTAGTTACTAGAAAAATCGCTTTGGGATAAAACTGATATTTTTAGAACAGTAGTTAAAAGTAATGTAATATCATCCCTTGCAAATACAAAAATAAATAGTCAGTTCATAAAATAAAACTTCTGACAAAACCTTATTTTTTTGCTTCTCTTCAGCCAATTTTCTGTTCACATTCTCAATTTCCCTGCTCAGTTCACTATTTTCAGTCTGAATTCTTTTCCTGAGCTCAAGTTGTGCTTCAGATTCACCAAGCTTTGATTCCAGTCTTGTGATTTCATTCTCAAGCCGTACAATTTCTTTCCGTAGTTCACATTCTTTTTCAAACAGAGTTGCTCCAGTCTGAAGGGAAGTGTAAAATAAACTTGAATTGAAATTGAATTGAAATATTTTATTTATATGAGATAAAACATGTTATTATTATTGATTAATTTTTGTACATATGAATACCCAGTATTTCTTAAATTATTTGAACAAATTCTTTTTTTTCAATTAATTTATAGTTAATTTGAATTTAACCTTTTTTTTTCTTTAAGTTATAGCCTGGGTCACCCATCAATATAGCATACTGAAATTTAGCTGCTTTTATTTCAAGCTTCTTTTAAAGATCAAAATACATTAGGAATAGTCTAATGTCTAATCAATCTACAAACAGTTTCTGCTGCTGTAAGAAAACCTGTTTTCCCTGGTCCATTGCGTCAATTTTTTCTTTCTGAGCACTAGCTATCTTTTTGTCTGACTCTGACTTTAGTTTTGAGAGCTCTTCTTCAAGTCTATGTATTTCTTCACGGGATGTTTTTTCCTTTTCCATCACATAATGAAGCTTTGATTTCATTTTAAATAAATTTTCTGAATCTCTCTGATAAATAGGAAAATAAATATATATATATATATATTGTGACAAAGTTAAGTTATTTGTGTAGTCTCATTTAGAATTCTAATTAAGTTTATAAATATGTTTACATCTACAAATGCAGCATATGTGATGCATATTATTATTTTTTAAATGCTTCTATTTTTCAATAACTAAATGTAGTAAATCAAAACCATAAGTGCAAGTTTAAGAACACATATGCCATAAGCAATTTATAATTTACAATTATTCTATTTATAAACATTTAGCAAGCGAATATAACTAGAATTTTAACTTACATCTCTCTCAGATTTGAATTTGGCAAGCACTTTTTCATGTTCAATATGTAGTTTTCTAATGGTATCTTCAGAGTGTGAAATTTGATTTTCAACTAGCATCAGATTTGCCCTCATGGAAATAATCTCAGCATCTTTTAAATTGACTTCTTTTTTCAACAAAGATAATTCTGTGTTGTTTTGTAACAGATAATAAAGATATTTTCAAACAGCAAAAGAAAAAATACCTTTTAGAAATAATGATTTGGTTAAGATATATGATAGTAAATGTTAAAAATTTAGTTACTGTATGTGGAGATAAGGCTAAATAGTAAAATTAAAATTATATTTACTCACCATTTTGAGCTGGCATGGCAAAGTCTGAATAACTTTTATTTTTATGAGTGTTGAGGGTAAGTCTAGATGATTTGGCAGGAGTCTCCTCAAAATCGTCTAACAGATCATGTTTTACTTTATCTAGCCCAAGAATATCTCTACCTCTATCTCTATCATATGATCTTTTCAATCCAATAAAGTCAGTACTCTCCATATAGGATTCCATGATAAATTTATATACTGATTAGAAAAAATAAAAATATATAACCATTATGTCAACACTTTATGCAAAATACAAGAAGTAAATATGTATTAGTAAGTAAGTTAAGTCTGTTTCCTATCACATGAAAAACTGCATGGTACTTAATGATAATTAAGCTTAATAAGACACTTTATTGCACAGGCCATTGTGGTTATGTACCACATGTGGTTAATGGATATGAAACTGATAAGATGTTGAGAACTACCAGGGCTGGCATATGGAATGTGAGAAAAATGTGGTCAGGTCACCTAGGGAAAAAAAAGAATATTTAACATTGCTCCCTCAGATCTGTGAAACAAGTTTTATTGAACTGGTTTGACTAACAGTGAAGGGGTATCAAAAATATTCACTGATTCAAGGCCTCTCTAATAATGGCAGCCAGCCGGACCAAGAATCATCAGTGCCACCTTCAAAACATTTTGGAAAGGTTTTAGGTTAAAATATAAATAAAAGCAAGACAAAAATCATGAAGGTAAACCCATCGAACCATGAGCATATCTATCTGGCAGGAAAAGACCTGGAAGAAGTGGAGTCCTTCACATACTTAGGCAGCACCATAGACACAAATGGCAGATCCGATGCAGACGTAAGGGCCAGAATTGGAAAAGCTAGATCGGCATTTGTGCTACTAAAGAAAATATGGGAGTCGAAGGAGCTGAAACTGCAAACCAAAGTCAGAATCTTTAACACTAATGTCAAAACAGTCCTACTATAGGGTGCAGAAACTTGGAAAACAACTGTGAGCCTTATGCAGAAAGTGCAGACATTCATAAACACATGCCTTAGAAAGATCCTGAAAATCAAATGGCCAAATACTATCAATAACAAAGATCTAATAGAAAGGACACACCAGGTGCCCATTGATGAAGATATCATAAAGAAAAGGTGGAGATGGATAGGGCATAACCTCCGAAAACCCCCAGATAGCACCACGAGACAATGCCTAACAAGGAACCAACAGGGAAAAAGAAAGAGAGGAAGACCTAAGAATACATGGAGACGCGAGCTAGAGGCTGACACGCAAAATATGGGAATCACCTGGAAGCAATAGGAAAGGAAAGCACAGGACCGTGATGAGTGGAAAGTTCTTGTAGACGGCCTATGCCCCAGACAGGGTGGAAAGGCATAAGTAAGTTTAGGTTAAATGTTATTCAGTGCACCAACAAATGCCAAAGAGTAAGATGAATAAGTCACAACAGAGTTGTCTGAAAGGCTTTAAAAAGCAGACCTGTTTACTCTTACAATTTTGGCGTAAATTGGCGACTTTGACGATTTTGAGATGTATACATTATGTATATTGTATGTTTATTTTTTACTAATAAGATAATGTTTTGAATGATTTTATGATATTGTACGATTTTAAGAGTTTGAGGGTAAACAGGTCTGAAAAAGTCATCAAATAAAATTTAAAATAACTGTCATAAACATCATAATGGGAGACATAAATATGTGCAGAAATCATGGATAAAACTGATAATATTGTTCTAAAACAATTTGCTCATAGGAAAAAGTACTCCACACAGGAAAATAAACTGATAACAAGAAAATTAAGACTAAAATTAAGGAGGCATTACATCTCCCAAAAACAGAGGATAAGATGATATTACTAATTACATCTTTGAGGGACTTATTGAAGAAGCAGGATTTTAGTTTGAGACTCTAGAAAACTTTATCAAAGCATTCAATATTGTCATAGACCACCATTGGCAATTTATTACAAAAGAAGTCACATTTGTTCAACACAAAGAGTGGATAACATATTATTAATATCAGAAATTTTTAGGCAACTTATACTGGCATCTTATTTTTAATGTTACTTCAAACATTTTATTATGGAAGACTGTCATGTTCTATGTAGGATTAAAATATATAGTATTGGCTCTGTTGTTAGCCAATAGTGAGGACCAAAGTATTTAAATATGTCAGTGATTACATGACATGTGCAAGAGACTATGACTCTTTGATTTTTAAAGAAAATTTGCACATTCCCCCAAGAACTCCAGAAAGATTACCCTATCCTAAAAAGATATGTGTGGTAGCATTATATGTGATCACAATTTTATGGAGTTCTCTTTGGGGCATTGGTCAGATGTTTCAGATCATTTGCAACTAAAATATACAGGTCACAAGGCATATTCAAAATATGCAAATTTCATTTATTCTCTCTTTCTGTCTTTTGGCAGCAACTCACATGGCCAAATAATTATTTTGTTATTAAGGAGCACTTGGTAATTCCTTAGACCTAAGAATGCATTGAGATTGACAGAGCTGTTCTGACCTTTTTAAATTATATGAATTTTTATAGGTCACCAAGCCATTAAAATTCACTTCTATATTGGATTGATGATAGGTAGATCTCTTTAACACAAAAGAACAATATAATTCTGTCTTAACATAAATGCATAGCACTCTCTCCAAACATGATAAAAGGCACAGTAAGGAGTATATTGTTTAAAGAGTATGCATAATCTCAATTTAAAATTGTATTTAAAGTATTGAAAAATTAAAGTTCCTTCAGTGTCTTGTGTGTCTTGTAAATTTAAAGCTGGCAATTTTTTTGAAGGGTCATAAAATATAAACTTTTATTAATGAGAATAGTTGGGCCTTCTTTAGCCTAAAACTTAAGATTTCTCATTTACATTTAGGGTAATTAAGTCAAATATTAGACCTATTTAACCATTGTTTCTCAGGCAGCATAGGCATAGATACAATTGAGTGTTTAAATTGCGGTAACTTTTTTGATAAGTCGAAAATACCTGAAATTCCACGATGTTTATACATTTTAGCATTTAGACTATGTAGCCCAAAGTTTAGACAAAAATCTTTACCCATTCCTGGGACAGGGGGGTCTAGTTCTTTTTACACCAATCAGAGGCTTCATAGGTAGCATTGTACCTTATAAATTTTGTATGAAAATTCTCAGTGTAGGTATACTTTCTACATGTTATTTATTACCGGTTATATAGATATGTTTAGGTCAAGTTTTGTAAAAGAATACAGTAAAGCTGTAAAAAAGCGCCTGTCATTTTTTTTTGGAAATGACTTCTTTTTGCAGAAAAAAAAATCCAGTGTCAAGTCCTTAAATTTTTTTTAAATCCATCACAATGGGACGAATTTGATCCGCGACCTTCGTTAATGCAAATCCTTTAATTCTAATTCTAAGGGAGTGTTTAAATGGTGGAGTGCTCAGGTATCTGTTAAATGGTAATCAGAAACACTTTCAGTCTCAATGCTCAATTAGTTGTAAAATTTACACAGCCTGATGAGGGTTACAAATAATTAAATAATAAATTTAAATTAAATGAAATCTCATATAGGCATAGGCATCTGAGTCTGAGACATACTTATATAGGCTTATAGCCTTTAGTATAGGCCTACTGTCTATTATTATTAATAACTTAATTAGTAAATTTTAATATATTTAAACATTATATGGGAGTGTTCCCTAATCTGAAAAATGGTGGAGGGCTCAGTTAAGAGCCATCCATAAATGATGTCATGCGGCTAGGGGGGGTGGGAGTCACCTTTTTGGGAGGGAGCTTAAGCAATGTAACGTCACATGAAAAGCGGAATATTATAGTAAAGAATTGCACTTAATAACCCTAGATTACAGACATTTTTAAAATTATTCTTTTATTCAACAATTATGATTATTTTATTTTTAAACTAAAATCACTGAATCAGTAAAGGTATGCGAGGTCCGAGAAATGGCCTTTGATCAAGTTACAGGCCGCCACGTAGGAGGAGAAAATGGGTGTAGTGACTTTGACAGTTGTGAGAATTTATGTCAAAATGTGGAGACGGGAGTCATAGAATTAGGACTAACATGTGAAGTGGGATGGAGCAAAAAAAAATGGTTGATGGAGAGGGGGGGGGGTCTTAGTAAATGCGCTAGGGCAGGTATTCTTAACCTTTTTGCATCGCTGCATGCCAACTCCGTTTGAAACATCCCCCTCCCTCTCCAACCGTATAAAGTATATTGTAATAAAATTTAAAATATGAAAATAATTAAATACTTTATTTATTGTAGTTTTATTTCTTTAACTAATGTTTTATAAACAAGGAAAAAAATTACCAGAAAAACATTTACTGCTGCTAATCAAAATGCATAAAACAGATTTTTTTTTAAAGCAGCAACAACTGGCAATGACAATGGCAGTACATACAATTTTCTGGTCTTTGGCACCTCAGGTCTTGGGATTTGTAAAGGGCAGTAGTGGACACAGGGAAATTATTTTTTTTAGGGGGTTGGGGGGGGGGTGCACAGAGATTTGTGATGTTATATGGAGGGGGGGTGTCAAAAATCTGTGTGATGTCATCTATGGATGGTCCTGCCTTTATGATTTATGATCTGAAAAATGGTAGTTACAAACACTTCCAGTCCAAATGCCCATTACTTGTAAAATTTACACAGCCTGATGAGGTTTAAAATTAAAAATAATTAAATAATAAATTTAAATCAATGAAAATCATTGAACATGTAACAAAAAATGGGACACATAAATATAGACAATATTTATTTTATTATAATCATATGTTACATATATTATTAGCCTTTGTGGGCGTTTATTTTTATAGGCCTACTGTCTCTTATTATTAATAACTTATAAAGTCCTATGACTAGCCTCTTAGCAAGCATGACTGTACTCTGCACTGTCTATTGACCTATGCCTATCTATATCCTATTAGTATTAGTAGTGTATTATTTAATTTATTATTATTAGTATTTAGAGTATTATTAGTTAATTATTAGTTGTTTTAACATTAATATATATATTAAATTAATTATTATAATTATTTTATTTATCCTGAACTGCACTTTTACCATTATATTAACTCATACACTGATGTGTTCAATAATTCTTCAGATTTTGGCTTCATGTTAATTTTTCGAGTTAAGATAGTCTCAAATTTATTACCTGATAGAATTACTAATTTGTATAAATAAGGCCTACTTAGAGTTGTACCAAACTTATAATTTATTGTAGCGCTCTTTTGAAAGAAAATTCATTTTGAGTGGATTCCATGCCGACATATAAAATTGTGTATAAAGCCCTTTCTTACTTACTAAATGAGTAGTGCATTACATTTTTATGGGTGTGACCTCACTGAAGACATTCTATTATGAAAAAAACATGCTTTTTAATATCGTATTTTCTGTCCCTGTCAAGAGAGCAATAGGTTTAAGACTTTTGGTGTATCCTCTTTTAAAGGACGGCTCTACTGACTTGCCAGTTACAAATGCACGGAACATTAACCAATGATATATTTAAACAACGGAAATGCCCTAACTCCCGCGAAGGGCGTAGACCAGGGCTACCAAACCTTGGGAAATTTCCCAAGATCTTGGGAATTCACGACCCCCCTTGGGATCTGGGGAATAATTTTGAAAATCAGGCAAAACCTTGGGAAATCTTAACTGGGGGGAACATTTTATTATATTTTTCGAAATACGCAACAATATCTGATGAAAAATAAAGTGAAAATAATTTTTAAAGTAACAAGGCAAAAAATTAATTGTTTTAATTTTTCTTTTCTGGTTTTAATTTTTAAATAC